GAATTCCACTATTTCGACGATCCGTGCCAAAGCTTGTACCAGTCACATGTACTGTGGGTACCATATTCCTATTTATAAATCTTTAGTTATGTGTGCCAAGTTCGACTACGTTTATTGTTGTGGGCAGACCCGACTGGTATTAACCTATTGCAAAATTTCCCGCCATTTTTCACAAATACTTATTTAAATATAGATATTTAAATATTATCCTTTATTGTATTCAAAAAAAGAAAAATCCATCATGTACCCATGTCCATGTTTATCAACCATAAATAAAAATAAAATTATTACTTTTTTCTTAAGTAAAAAAAAAAACAAAAATATATTTAAAATATTTTCAGCGTAATTTAGCATTATTTACTTCATACTGAAACAACACGAAAATAAACTTAATAAATATGAAATTCTAACAGATCATGTTCTTGGCACCAAACATCTCAATATTTCAACAAAATTACAACAGTCGGTTTCGAAAACACGGTGACACACAAACATAATTTCCATATCTATTATATGTAAACCTATAACAATAACAATACGATTCGATTTAGAATCGTAAACAATCCCGAATTTCTCCAAATAAAATAGCCTAAACGAAGCTTACGTCATAAATTATTATTAATTGTTTGGTTATTTGTCAACTTAGACTAATTAGTAATTAAAGTAACAAGTAATTGTCCTCACTACTGTTAGAATTGATCATCATCTGATGTACCCAATAGTAACTCTCCTGGTGTTACGATTAGAGCATACCTGTTTAGCATTTCTTACTAATATCGCAGTATAAGTATTAGTACTAAAGTAAAAATTATAATTAGATGATATCCGTATATGAGAGATATTTAAGAAAAATTAATATAACTGATCCTTATTTTAAAACGTTTCAGGTAAATTAAAACTTTGAACTTTCATTTTTAAGCAATTAAAATCAGAGGGCATTTATTACACGAGTATATTAGGCATTAATATATTTTATATATAATACGTAAACGTTTATTAGGAACTATACAGATTAAACTAAATATTACTGGGACATAACAACATATATCTAATACTCATATCAAATATAGACATCAATAAAATTTATATAAATATTTAAAATTCACGTAAATAATTGTCTGGTATACTAGACAACGCCGTGTTATTAGTACGTTCAACTCATTTAAAATTACTAAGTCTCAAGTACTTACTACATAATACCTAATTATTTGTTCTAGACACGATCCACGTGTTACGCTGAATTGATGCAGACAAGGCCGTAAATTAATGACGTATATAAAAATATCTAAACGCTTAGTTGTATTTACATATTCTGTAGATTAGATAGTTAAATACATATCTACATACACTTATCTATACTATGTACGTATGTAGTAAAATTGTAACGGTCAAAGTCTGTAAGTGTATTGAGGTTTTCGCCAAAATTAAATAGGTAAGCTGATATGTCATTTGAACTTTTATTATTTCATTATTAAATAGAAAAAGTATTAAATATCAGACATCGTCCAGTAACAATTTCATTATATTATTAGAGTGTAGTACCAGAGGGAGACTTTGTACAAAAGTCGATTACTTTAGTACCACTGTCTCATTCGTGTTTCTACCGTGAAGCAGTTGTGTTTGCATGGCTGTGTTTCGATTTGAAGGGTGGGATATGGCGTGAATTTGCAGGGTATAGAGGAATAACATCTGAGTCCTCAGGAATGCCAACGCATGGGGGGTATCATGGGCGAAACAGTATACTCTGTTATGTACATGGTACTGCTCATGTCTATAGGCGAGGGTTACCACTTTCCATCAGGTGGGTCGTCAGCTTGTTTGCCATTCTAAGTTGTATAAAAAAATTATTTAAATACCTCATAAGCTAAATATGACGTATATTTTTTTAGTGAATGATAATGGAATTATAACCCCGCCTGCGCTAATGGTATACGCTGGCGGGGCACCAGTGAGGGATGGTAGATGAGAATGAAAAAGCAGGTCAGTTAACCCATCGTGATAAATACACTTGGAATTAAGCACACTAGTTTCCAGGGGAGACCACAGGGAGGTCGACCTGGTAGGGTATATTGATAGCAATAGAGTCCTTAATTTCCATTACTAACAATCCCTTCCCCCAATATGACGTATATTAACACAAAAGGATCAATTATGTAGTAAACATTATTTTATTATCAAGTAGAGTAATTATCCTATTTGATAATAACTGATTTTACTTTTATTTATTTATTATTACAAAACTATATATTTTTTTCATATAATACATGCGAACAATGTCACGGGTACAGCTAGTACATAACACATATTCATGACAATGCCCAGACAATGATATAATTTTTGTGTGGTACAGTTTACATTGTTAACACTGAACTAAACACTTTTTTTAATTTATTGTCTGTTTATATAACTTTGTGGACATGTTTGTTTGTTATCATAAACACGTGTATCACACACCCTTTATTAGTGGCTTCAAAATAGGTATATACACATAATAAACTACCTATACTAAATAAACTAGCTATTTTTAGCACGTATATGAGAATATAAAATATTAGCTGTACCACGCGGTTTTGACTGTATCGCGATATTGATTAGCTTATAATCTTCAACAAATAAACAATCGAAAGTAAATATAACTTTTACAATCCAATAGTAGTTACAAAGTTAGAGGTATGGATGACAGAACATAATATCTATAGAATAAAATACAATTTGGAATCCAAGTACTAACGGACTTTGAGATAAAAAACAACAATAAGTGCTTACTGTATTTTATAGACCGGACAAGATTTATCAGTAACGGGGACTAACTAATAAAATACGTGGTTCATTCTAAAAACTCCTAGAAACCATCGTGGTTAATTCTTGTTGAATTCTCAACGATGAGCTAACTGCCCTACTTTTATTCTCACCTCATCATCATCTCTCGCTGGTGTTCTGCCAGCGTATATCGATAACGCAGGCAGAGTTACCATTCCATATTTACCCATTTAAAAAAGAACAACCCAAACATTTCCTCATTCCACTCCTGGTGAAATCGTCGTAACAGATACTTCCTTCACTTCGCCTGATTAAACCAGTAGTTTAAAACAAGCAACATTACTATTCTATTCATCTGTTGAACTTACTATGTAATTTTAAGACTCAACGGCTTCTGGAGGCTTTACAACAATTAGAAAATAATTTTCTCAAAATATCTTATAACTGGCACGTCTATATAGACACATGACTAATAAAAATGTTAATACTTCTACCTACGTACAAACTTATCACGTGTTTGCTTTCTGCCACTCGTTAGATGCGAAAGTATTCAACATTTGAGTAAAATACCATTTAAAACATCGACTGACACATATTATCGACGTTTAACTGCCAACATCTCCTAACATGCACAAAATTCTATACAAGAGACTGAAAATATTGTAATTCAAATTTTTTTGTATAATATGAGGGCAAACTTACAACTCACCTAATGGCAAATGTCTACCGCTGCCCATGAGCACGGGAATTGCATGTGTAAGTGTAAATAAAATAAACTAGTAAATAAAATAATAATTATAAAATAAATCCTTAATATTTTTTTATGGGTGAAAATGGAATGGTAACCCCGCCTGCGCTAACGGGATACGCTGGCGGAGCACCAGTGACGGGTGATCGATAAGAATGAAAACAGGCCAGTTAACCCATCATGATGAATTCATCAGGAATTAACCATGATAGTTTCCAGGGGGAACCGCGAGGAGGTCGACCTGGTTGGGTATATTACTAGCAATGGGATTTTCAGTCTTCATTATTAACAATCCCTTTCCCCCTTTCTTAATATATTGAAGTAAAACTTGTTTATTTATGTTATGTACCTACTTTAATAAGATGTCGATGTTACGTGTAACATCACTAGTTGAAATAAAAGTGAAGACAACCTTCAGAGTTACAAATCTCTATTACAATGTTACAGTCTATTGTATCTAAATTAAAATAGAACTGACGTAATATTGTTACTATTTTAGTCTAAATAATATTCGTATCTATGCTTTAGTTATAATTTGTTTGTATAAGGTAGGTACATTGTTATAGATACAAACCCTGATATATTTTTATTCATGGCTGATTTTAATGATTCAGTAGTCATATTTAGTTGTAAGAAATTTTCTTTTTTTACCACTAAATATAGCTACTGAATGACTTAAAAAATGGAGTGCTAGGGGAAACGGATTATTAATAATGAAACCTAACAACTCTATTGCTAGCAATATACCCTATCAGGTCGACTTCCACGCGGTGCTCTCTAGAAAGCATCGTGGTTATTTTTTTTAAGAAATTCGTCAAGATAGATTAACTGACCTGTTTTCATTCTCACTTATCATCTCCCACTGATACCTCAACAACATATACCATTAGCGCAGATGAGGTTACAATTTCATTTTCACCCATAAAAAATCATGGAATCCTTCTAAAAAAGAGTAATAAGGTATAATAATTGCGGACAACATACGCGTAACAGCCAAGTGTCCAGGGTGTATAAATATAGATAGATATATATTGGTTATAGTAACCTATTACTATCAGACGGGCCACATGCTTGTTTACCACCATACTAGAATAAAAAATTATTCACGTTTTTAAATAATTAAATATAGTAATTGAATATGAAATTAATTTAAGTAACACAAGCCTAGGATTTTCGGATTTTAATAAAAAAACTTTATAAAAAATTTTTTACAACAGGTCGATTACTACCCCCTTATTTATAAAAAAATCAAGCCTATCATAAATCTTTTATAGCTATTGAACTGTTTTATTTCATTCTTCTGTGTTAAATTCTCAGTTAGAGTAAAAGTGACAAAACAGTGTTAAAATAGGTTTACAAAAGGTTTTAATTTATCTGAATAAGGGGATAAGTATTTAAACCTTGTTAATGATAATATCAACTTGTCTCTTTTTAGTTTAGGAATTCACTAGGGTTGACACTGCGGAATTCGCACAACAATCTGGAAGTCTTTCCATCTCATTTACCACGTCGGCGCCATGTAATACGGACTATTGCCAAAACATTCTTCATGACGATGCCGCGTATATATTTTATATTTATAAACATCATTAGCAAGCTACATTCATGATCATTGAGTGCGCTGTCGCAGATCACGAGTGATGTCGGACTCGCGTTGAGTTTAAAAAATAAAAAAAAAAAACGTAAAAGTTAACTAAACATCATCGGAAGTGATATTGTGTGATTATTCTTTGGACTGTCTATTTATAATAGTGATCATGTCTAATAGTTATAATATGAAGGAGTTCAGTTCAACGTAAGTCATTACAACTTACATTCAATGCAGTAAATCCATTTTTTTTTTTATTTATTAATTTGTATTCTACCACTTTTGCTCTTAGGAATGCTTCTTTTTATAATTCCTTATAAAAATAATATTACATTACCCTTATTTTTTCCATTCTAATACTGTTTAACCTGATGTTTTTAATCATGCAATTTTTTAATGTATACTGAAAATTACTTTATAAAAAGGTAAAAAGACTCTTAACCGACTTGCACTAAGTAGGTCCAACCGTCCATCATTTCCACTTTCAAAACTGTATATTTCCGGAAATAGGTACACACTGAAAGTGGTATATTTCTATTTTTTGCTTTCCTAAATTTATTGTAAATAAAATAATATAGCTACCATTTGTGTTTATTTTACAGTCATCTCGTTTTCCATAAAATTGCATTTAAATTCAAATAATCTTTATTCAAATAGACTTATTCATTTACAAGCACTTTTAAATCGTAATTTCTTTTTTAAATCTACTGCATTAATAGTAATGTAATGACATGTTACTTAATAAAATCTATTAAGACTGTCATAATTATAATATCTAATAATATATGTATTAATTATTATTCATAAAAGTTAAATTTAGATCCTGAATTTTTTCATAATCCTTATGATTTAAATCTGATATTAATCCATTGAACACATTTAGTGTACCTTATCTATTTCTTTCCTTTTTAACTTTAAAAAGCTTTTTGACATGTAAGAGAACGATAAATTTTGCTATTTGTTTTAAAAACGTCCATTCAACGAAAAATATATGTTATAACCTAAATGTTTTTCTGTCGATTTAAAGCGCAATAATAATTAAGTTTGACAAAAATATCGTTTCAATTAGTCAAGTAATCGATATTTAAACAATTCTGATAAGAACGTAAACTATACGTAAAAATATATTTAAAAAAAAATACCTAGTAAAAATATTGTTTTTTTTTTTAATATCTTTTCACAGAAGTGTTATGTCAGCGCTCAATTTGGTAATCATCGACTGAGGTAACAAAATTTTAAAACTGAATATTTAGAAACAAAAAGTAAATATCTCAGGTATTTAATAAACGTCCCACTGCTTACAAGACAAATAAAAAAAAATCTTTTATACCTAACTCGAGTGAAGGAATGTTCGTCTCCTGTGATCTTTATGCAAAAGAAAAACAAATTGCGTCGTAGGTCAATGACCACCAAGATTGTTGAACTTCATCTTCAGTAACAAATTAACTGAAAAACATTAAACACACGTCCCAGTAATACTGAATTTCACAGATATTTTCTTTAGCGAAATTACGTACTTATTATTTACTATAATATGACTTTTTAGTGCCAGTTATTTATTTATGAAAAATTATATAAAGTGTGTAATGTATACAGCTGTAAATGCAATGTTCATTCTCTCGTTTATGTATATCAGAAAAAAGGTCGATAAATCTTTCCAGTCTGTAACTGCATGTTGATTTTACTATGAGAACTATCTGTCTATATCTTCGTGCCAGATCTTTTACGGTATAAGTAGACAAACATCTATAATTGGCTTCTTATATGCCACATACGTTTATAAATATCTATGAGTATATATAGTACCTGCTTCGACGTCATTTTAAATTCCTTACATCTATGCACGTCGGTTTCGTAGACTTTAGAATTAAGTTTCAAATAAATAAATTTATCTCATCATAATAACCTAGTATAGAAAAATATCTGAAATTTGTAATCATATTTTTTTAATATATGACATTGAAATATTAAAAAGAATATTAAAGTTGTAAACTTTATATCTGCTACCCTATTATGTTATATAACTCATTATATACAAAGCACTACTCAAATTTAAAAGCTGAAAGAAGCGCTCGACTAATCTTTACATTTACATATCGGTATTTATATTAATAGTTTATATATATTTATATATGTATTTATTGATGCATATGGCTCGTGCAGCACCCCCTTAAACCTCGGGCTCCTCCCTTGGACGTCAAAGCCCGTGAGTGCCACCCGATAGATAAATACCTAATAGGTCGAATTAGGTAGAATTATTGTACTGGCTCTCGAATGGCATCTAATTTTTCCAATTACAAGACTATCACATTATATTATATCATATCTAAATATAAAACCATCAACTGTAGTGATTTATTGATGGTCAAGTTTTACTATTACGTATTTTTATCATACGTTACCTTTATATTTACCTACACAGACAGAGATCAGCTACTTTAAAAGCAAAATAAATAATACAAACTCTATTGAACACGTGAAACTACCAATCTCATCAAACGTACTGAATTAAGTCCGATAGTACACATAGCTCTGCCCACGATAGTGAAGTGAACGTAATAATTCATCTCTGCAAACTTTGACATTTGATTTTAAATATAAAATTTAATCAAATGTAACTATTATATTCTGAAACAAATAACATCATATACTATATGCTTAAAAACAAATAACTTTTTTTTTTAAATACCACCGCCAAAATGCAGACGTTCATTATAAGATTAAAGTGACAATTAAAAAAGGAAATTAATTAAAATAACGAAGTACGATTTAAAGGTTTTAACTTTGATAATCACATTGATAAAGAAACAGGTTTACCTACTAAAGATTCGTGTTTCTACCGTGACGTAGTTATTATACTCGTATTTACCATGACCGTGTTTTGGTTTGAAGGGTGGGATGTGACAGTGAATTTACAGGATACAGAAGCATAACATCTTAGTCCTCAGGACTGGCAACGCATGTGGGGGGAGGTATCATGGGCGAAATAATATACTCTGTTATGTTCATGATACTGTTGTTTATAGGCGACGGTTACCACTTTTCATCAGGTGGGCCGTTAGCTTGTTTACCATTCACAGTTGCATATAAAAAATTGAATAACATGTGTTGTGGTTTGAAGGTGCAACATGCGACGACAGTTACCATTTTCCCTCAATTGAGTTGTCACACATCAGACTGTTTATCGTACGTAGTAGCATAAAAGGTTACCTTATAACACATATTCAGAAGACCTAAATTCCTAATGATAAACTATTTGAAGACCATGTAGGCGTAATGTATGCAATACATAAACTGAAATGGCGCCAACATTGTTGTGCAACTGAAACGATTTTCATTTAAACCGTTCGGTTAATTACTAACTAATAGTTCTGTGTGCTATGCCTGCGACTTCGTCTGAATGATAGTCAAAGTTTTTTTTTCTCTAAATTTCTAATGGAGAGATCAAACTGTATCTCACAATTTGCTGTACCGATTCTGATAAAACATACCTATTAATTTGTTATATATTTTATTTCATTTCAATGCATTTATCAGCCAATTCCTTATGATGATGTAATTTATAAACAGACATACACGTATTATAAAAATTATGGATTTCGTTCCCATTACTTATTGCCTGTCTATCTTGTAATTTCTATAATCTACCTACGACTTCATTCGCATATCGAATTGTAAACTATAATAAAACTATTATTCTTCTTTTTATAATTACCTAGAAATTTCTATAACCACATTCAGTTATTCACGAATTGTGGAAAAGTATGAAATGCTTCCAAAAATACGAACCGTTAATTATTAATTATTCCCACTATTATTTTATTGGAAGAGGGAGACTAAGGCATAGTTACATCAGGCAGATCAAGGAAAAAGTTAATGTTGTATTGTATCAAGAGGTGAAGAGGCTCGCTGAAAATCGTAGTGAGTAATTCGTAGTGCAAGTGATTAAAAAAATGCATATAGATAACACCTAAATGAATTTACTGTCAGTAATAAGTGCTTACGAAAAAAAGACCTTCACTTGTCTTCTAAAATAAGTACAAAGAAGTTGCTTTATATTTATAAAGAATGTAATCTTTATACAAAGAGATTAATATTAAATCACTCCTAATATGTAGATTAAATGAGTACCTCGATTTAACTCTTTCTGAATTAAAAAGATATAAGTATGTTAAAAAACTATATAGTTTTTATTTTTTATTTTTAACAAACGTAAATAATTCTACTTGTCGTTTTTCTAATCATGATTATAATTCAAGTACGATTTTTATAATTTTATAAGAATTGAGATAAAATTTATGTATTTAAAAATGGCTTCTTTTACTTTGTAAATAATAACATTAATCGGTCTTCGAATCTTAATACGTGGTGAAGATTTAGACAGGAAATACCTGACTTTGATCTTGGTTTTTAGATCCCAAGAATTTTAGTCTTAACTACCTTTGTGAAATTATTGCTATTTAGGTATTTTTACAATTTTTTTAAGCCAAAAATCATTTTTATTTATATGTTCACAGTTGTATATTAATCTAATGTTTACAATGTCTGCTAGAATTATCTGCATAATTTAGTCATATTCTATAGATTCTTTGTTTTATAGTAAATTACGTATTATAGCCTACACGCGTGAGTAATATTTCATTTGGAGTAGGTAGATATGGAATCCTTCTAATTAAACCAGTTTATCTCAACATTACAACGCATCTTTATTTATTATCGGATTTACATTTAAAATATGTTCAGCTATTATACATACTTAGTATATATACTTAGTAGGTATTATAATTCGTTATCTGCATGATAGTACACTTCTCTATGTACGATAGAGAACAGTTCCTTAGATTGTAATATTACCTCTCACATAATGGATTAGATAACTTTACTTCAACATAGAAAAAGTAGAAGTTAAATAAATAAAGTCGAACTCTGAACCAAAAGACCATAATCGTCGGTAGAACACACGGTATTAAAAAAAGTAGGGTGTACCCTCAGATTGTTTTATGCAACTTAGAATGGCAAACTAGCTGACGGCTCACTTGATGGTAAGTGGTAACCATCGCCTATAGACGTGAACAGTACTGTCGACATAACAGAGTATACTGTTTCACCCATGAAACCCCCTTCCCCATGAATTGCCATTCCTGAGGACTAAGATCTAAGTAATAAGCCTCTGTACCCTATAAATTCATATATAGTTTATAGATATTCGTTGATTTATCATATTGGAGCGCATTCTAGTTTGACAACTTACCTGTCTTGGTTTATAAACTGGGATTTTATTATTATTGTCATAAAAAACTCTAGTCATGCGTCACACAGTAGGTACCTAATCGCGGAGAGCATGTCAATATTATCAAGACTGCATAAGGCACTAAAACTAATGCATTTGTCACGGGTATATTTTTCCTTACAAACATACATATTTACATTTTATAGTAATTTGTCAGTTAAAGCGCAAGATACCTATTTAATCTTATTATAATTAGTTATGGTATATTTAATTTTTTCAGAGCTGTCATCACCAATAATGGCCAGTTTTACCCTTCAACAATTTCAATCAACACAATCAATACGAAACATAAAGAAGAAGAAGTGGATATTGACGCATATAACCCCTTTCAACATAGGAAATTAGAACATCCGAATTCGTAAGTTATTGCTAAAAATTACAGTAAAGTAAATTCTGGAATATTATTATTTAAATGTATCACAAAATATCCTTTATTTATTTAAAAAAAAAAAAAACCATTTAGACTCATAATGAAATCATTTAATAGCATTTTGGGTAGATAGGTACATAATAATATTAGAGAGTCATACTCGTTGTCATAGTTATTAATTTAAATAAATATAAACTATAAAAATAGCAAAGTGATAAACAGATCAAGTATAGACCTCCACTACTAACAAAGAACTAATTAATAAAAAAGGAAAAACTGATTTCATTACTAAAGATGTGAGATTTATAGATCTATATCCATCAGACTGAAACATTGGCGCATAGTGGCCAGCCTAATACTGTCTGTAGGATACACTTTGGAGAATATGCACAGAAGTTCCATGATCTGATCTTGCTTTCTCCATTTAACTTCTAAGTATAAGCCAACAGTGAACGAACAAGATAATTATAGATAAGGTTAGGTAAGGTCAAGCACAAACCCATCTTATAATAAAAAAATCTAGAATCTAAATAAATATTTGAATTACCAAACCTTAGAGTTCTAAGAGACAGATTACATTTGATAACAGATTCTATAGTCTGGTAATTACCAGACGATACAATCTGTTCAGTAATAAATGTCCAAACCAACTTTTAGAATTACAATCAGTAGGATTATGTTAAATGTGACAATCATAATAATAAGTTGTTATTACCTTGTTACAGAGACATGAGATCATTTGCAAATCTCCTAAAGTCTTCGTTGGGTTCCGGTATACTAGCTATGCCGGCAGCATTCAAGAACGCTGGTTCTTTAGTCGGCATCTTCGGCACAATTATTTTGGGATACATTTGTACGCATTGCGTCTATTTACTGGTAATCTATTTGAGCACTAAATTCACATTATACAGTCAATTACTTCATCAGCGAGTAGATACACAAATACACTAAATACTTGATCTTAAAACCTATAGAAAATCAACCAATTGAAATCTAAAAATTTAATTAATTTAAATCACCTGTAAACTCCTATCTAAATTGATCTAATCAAAAATCTAACCCCGATTTAAATATATATTTATATATTAATACAAATATACATAGCCTACTAACATAGAAATACTACAGAACAAAAAGTTTGTCGTACGACAGAAAATAAAGTAAGTAAAAAATTATTAACAAAAAAAAATAACAAATGAAACGACTAGACTTTAGATTAGATATTCAAAGACATGTTAATTACTATACCACTCAAAGTATCTAAGTTTAGTTCGTTCTGATGTTTACCAGGAAGAAAAAACTACATTTTTAATTTAAATTACTTAGGTACATAACTAGTAAATTGCTTTAGAAAACAGGTATTAAACACTTATGCGAGTACATATTTAAATTGCATAATTCATTATTCTTATTATTTTGTACATATACCTAGTTAGAAAGATCTAAATTAAATCTTTATTTTTCAAAGTACTCTAAATCTATTTAATACATACCTTACTACATATTTTTTCCATAAAACATCAATACGTACATTATTCCAATCTGTAGAATATGGATGTATGATATGATTTAAACTATATGATTTTATATATAACACCTTAGTCCATAAGGGTGGTTTTTTATCAAAAGTACCATGGGAATCTTCATTAGCAGCACTTATTGATTCCCACTTAATTATGCCTTTATATTTTGTTTCAAATTCTCAAATGAATAATAAAGTCTCACTCAAGATCTGTAACTCTCAAGATATATAACATTATACACATACTGTTAAAACAGATTATATTACCAATATATTTTTTATTTCAGGTGAAAACATCACAAGATGTATCCAAAGTCTCAAAAAGTCCATCATTAGGATATGCTGAAACAGTAGAAGCTGTTTTTGCCACAGGTCCACAGCCACTAAGAAAAGTTTCAAAAGCTTCTAGGTAAGTTGTCTTATTAGATAAAAAGTGAAATGTTATATAAACTAAGATAAACACATAACGCTATGTAACAATCGAATGAGTTATTCTGTTGGAGGCTCGTGCCTATTTCGCTCAAGGTTGCAGCTACTTTATAAAACTGATTGAATCTTCTTATAAAATAGTCAAGAATAGAAGATATCCGTTCAAGCTTTAAAGTTAAGAATAATATAATTATGGATAAACATTTTGTTGATCCCCACTATCTAACTAGGACTATTCCCCTTTATCAGATCTTATCTAATATGATTGACTATACTATACTATAGAAAAAGGGTAGTTAAATTGTGGAGTCTAACCTATTTTGTAAATTTCTTTCTTATCAATACATATATGTATGAGAAAAACTTAAAAATTTTATATCCAATTTATACCTTGATTTTGATGTCTTAATAATCAGATAAAGCATTAGAAACTATACGGACAAATTTTATTAACAGTTATTTAGTACTGCACTAATAAAGCTTACTGGATTCGTAATAGGTGATATTTATATCTATTGATATTTACATATATATTTACAAATTGATTTGTAACAGTTTCCCCTTGAGCATGAATATAATTTAATAGCTGTTGATCGAAGTGATCGTACCTATATATTGCAGCAGCTAGATCGTTTTCCTAGTCTAATAACAAAAAAGCTAGTTTTTACCTTTAAGACCTTTGAAAATATGTATCTTAATTTACCAACTATGACACTTATTTCTTTTAACATACGTCTGGTATCCTGAACTGAAGTCGCGAGTATAAGATAAACATAATGTAATATTTCATAGTCATATATTATTAATCATAGATAAAGTTAACTATTCAATGTAAATCGAAATTATTGCGTGATAAAAATATATAAAAATAAGGAATTATATATCAAAGTAATTAAATATAACTTAACATCTGAATGGGCATTAATACATATATATTAGTTACCTATCGATTAAATTTTGATATACCCAAATAGGCTTCATACACTTACTCTTCATAACAACATTATAACAATTCTATATTATGTACATGAATGCATTAAAAAAAAATTATAACCAGTGTTTTAAATTATATTATTTATCAGTGTATGTATATATATAATTTAAAATAAAATACCAACTCACAATATAGGCAAAATAAAAATCTCATTATTTTTAAATCACAGGTATAAACTAATACGGACATATCAATTTATATTACATAGTGATGATCAATAAATGCTCATGAAACTAATAATAATGCTAAAAATAATGCTATTTATACAAAAGTAACTAGGTATTTCATACACAGCAAATTATGACATTTTGCTGAAACATTATAAGCGATGATTCTACGTCAAAACTACGCACGACCAATAGACGTGTTAAATTGCTTTCAATTTAACTTTTAAATTCTAATGACATATTTTGTTCTACCTGCTATAAACATAACAATGCTTCATTCGACATTCACTATGGAATGACCTATGGAAAATAATACAAAACAATTTTCTTGTTTTATTTTTTTGTCATAAAGTTACGACTATAATTAAAAAACAAAATTCAGCAACTAAAATAAATAACTAATCATGTAATAAACAATTTTCTCAATGAAATTTGAAAAGAATTAAAATATATTTTTTAAGTATTCATACAAAAAAAAAGTTGACGCAAGAGTCCACATTGAATATGTAATAGCTATTATTCAAACAATTTCGTTATTTTTTTTTTCAGAATATTCATAGATTGGGCAATGGCATTTACAATACTTGGTGCATGCGCAGTGTATGTCATCCTACTTGTAGAGTCAGTAAAACAGGTAGGTGTATTATATATATATATATATATATATAACCACAAAGTTGCCGGAAGAACCGGATGAAAATAGTCCTGATTGGGTATATTACTAGCAATGGAACCATTAGTTCCCTTACTAACAACATCCTTTGCCGATTTTTAATAGTTGACATAATTGGGCATGCTAAAACCATCCCAATTTTTTATTTATTTTAATTTTTAGTATGCAGTATACAATATCCATTACACAAAAAAAAAATTATTATAGAATAAATGATTTATCACTCTACACGTATAATGTAGGATATAATTTTAATTCCTTGTATTTCTTGCAATCGGTGACTGTCTCACCTTCTAATGGTTACAAATTCAAACCCCGCTTAGTACAAATATATGTGTTTATGAGTATGTTTTATTTAAAAATATATCTAAATACTTATCAGTTATCTAATAAGGACCGTGTACAAGCAACAGATAACTTATTTAAATACAAAAGAGATAAGTAAATAACAGTAAAGCTTCTTGCAGATTTCCTTCAATAGATAGAGATATATTGAAAGAAGTATAAATTCTACTTAGAAGACTATGTTACGCTACTATATTTATTATTATTTATAATTTACTATCTTCTAATTTTGTAAACACTTTCTATCATACAAATTAATTACAAATACAACAAATAAAAGAATTAGCCGAATAACTGCAGTCGTTCTAAAATGATGAATATAAAATTTAGCAATTGATTGTTATTTATGCTGATTTTTTTTTTGTTTCAGATAATTGATCACTTTTACGAAGACAATGGTATCAACACAACTATGTACTGTTTAATATTTTTGGTGCCACTTCTTATATTCACACAAATCAAGAATCTCAAATATCTGGCCCCATTCTCTGGTTTCGCCAACATATTATTAGTATTAACATTCCTCATATGTTTGTACTACATATGCAGTGAATTCCCTAATGTGACCATTCGTCCATCATCAGTCGATATTGGAAAGTTGCCTTTGTTTATCGGGTAAATGTAATGTTTCTATCTATTGTAATTAAAATAGTGATAGATCTAAAGTTTAGAGATTATTTAGATATACGAGTAAGTGCATATTGCCATAATTACAGTATAATAACAATGTGGTATCAAAACTTAATACGTAAAAACACCAGGCGTTAGTGTGAGACAGAACTTGTAAGATCACTTGTAAGATCATTATTTTAATGTTCTATTCTATTCCAGCGGAACATATTTATTATTTAATATAATAGTATGCTATCAAAATAATACCATTAGGATTACCACTTTCCATTAGATGGGCCATCAGTTTGTTTGCCATTCTGACTCAAAAAATATCTAGTAAATCAAGTAACTAACAATGTAAAAAAAAGTACCAATATAGGTAAGATTTATTGTTTAATTACTATATTTTCTCGACTTCAACAAAACTTGAACTTCATTTCAGTACAGTTATCTTCGCCATGGAGGGCATCGGCGTAGTGTTACCAGTGGAGAACACAATGGCTAAACCTGAGCACTTCTTGGGATGTCCCGGAGTACTCAACATTACTATGAGCGTGGTGGTGCTCCTTTACATGATCATGGGGTTTCTGGGATACATACGTTACGGAGACCTCGCAGAAGGCAGCATCACTCTAAACTTACCAACTGGTAAAAATGAAATGTGAGTTAGTTTCAGAGTGCTTCAGTATTGTCATTGTATAATTTCAAACACTATTTTGAATATTTAAATGAATACTTTATTTTTTATTTCTTTATTTATTCAAGTAACAAAGACTCATTTTGTTAGTAAATCTTAAAACTATGTTAGTATGACACTTCTATTACTACTAATTATGATATACGTATATTTTCAATAGATTAGTTTCTCTTTTTAATTATATGCGTAAAATAAATCAAGTACATCTTTTACCGAATATATTAATATTTTTTTAAACATCAAGAATACATTAAACTCTTTCGATTAAAAAACATGGAACTAATTACTTTTTAAGTGATTTAAAAACATTCTTATTTTTTTCATAACAATATAAAATAACTTTATAATTAATAATTGCAGCCCTGCTTTAATGGCGAAGTGCTTCATCGTCCTCGCTATATTTTTCACCTATACATTGCAATTTTACGTGCCAATGGAGATTGTTTGGAGAAATACTAAAGAACATGTAGCTAAGAAATATTACAATCTAGCTCAAGCTATCATGAGAGCTTTCTTTTCCTCTCTTACTGGTAAGTTAAAACTTATATTTTTTTAATAATTTTATATTGTAATTTCGGGATTTTGTATAAAATATTTTCATATTAAAATATTAGATTAGAATCAATGGGATTTGGATCCCATATATTACATTATAGAATGGACCATTCCCTTCTATCCCGTGGGTGTCGTAAGAGGTGAGTAAGGGAATTTAATGGTTGAGGTATGAACAGCAGTGTACCTTTTAAAACATCACAAATTGCGGTTGCCAACTTACTAGCCAAACGTGGCAACTATTGGCAAAACCCCCCTTTATGAGGGAAGCCTGTGTTCAGCAATGGACAGTTACCGGCTAATATAATGATGATGAAGATAATATTACATTAAACACAGTAATTTGTAAATATTTACTTAATTATTTATTTATTTAATACTTTATTGTACCAACATTATATTGCACCAACATACACCAACATTAAATATATTATTATTTAAGATCTAACTAATCATAAATTAAATAATTTAACATTGGGTCTTTATTTAAAAACTCTATTAATATTACCTAAATGAAATTGAGGTAAATAGAGTAGTACCAGAGGGAGACTTTGTACAAAAGTCGATTGCTTGGGTACCTCTGTCTCATTCGTGTTTCAACCGTGAAGCAGTTGTGTTTGCATGACAAGGTGGGATATGGCGTGAATTTACTGGGTACAGAGGAATACCACCTGAGTCCTCAGGAATGGCAACGCATGGGGATATCATAGGCGAAACAGTATACTCTGTTATGTCCATGGTACTGCTCATGTCTATAGACGACGTTTACCACTTTCCATCAGGTGGGCCGTCAGCTCGTTTGCCATTGTAAGTTGTATTAAAAAATATATATAGTACGTGTATACCAAATTTTATAATAATTGATTAATTAATCTGTAAAGGCACTAAAAGATAATAAACAAACAAACAAACTCACTTTCACATTTATAACATTAATAGGAATTACTCATATATACTTTTCGATTTACAGTGGCAGCAGCGGCTACATTACCGAGACTGGAACAAGTTATCGGCCTGGAAGGCGCATTTTTCTACTCCTTCCTTGGTCTCATTGCGCCGTCTGCAATGGATCTTATATTCAATTGGAATAGAGACCTCGGCAAATATAAGTGGGTCCTGATCAAGGATGTGTGCTTAATACTTTTCGGTACATTTGTGCTTGTCACAGGAGTGACTCAAAGTATTAGGGAGATAATTAGGACTAATAATGCTTAATAACGGTTGTGTTTTGTATTTTGTAATTACCTACCTACATAAGAGACGATTACAGTATTACGGTACATGCATAAAATGTGTGATTTTTACAATAAATTGTCAAAAATGGAAATATTTTATAAGCATTACTTACCTTGTTTTAATAAATATTTAAAAGAAAAGTTTATATTACGTCTTTATTTCATGCAGTTTTAATGTTTATCAAAATGGTCATATGTGTGGTTAGTAGAAATAAGTAATATTTAGCAATATCTATATATAATAATTAACGTATCTCTATATATTGACTTAATAAAAGATATTAAACATCGGTTATCCAATATATCATATCGAAATAAAAAACCTGAAGGAATTGAATATAGATATCTGATGTGTATAGACGATATCGAAATATGTGATGACCTGCTTTTCCGCCATCAATATCCAGAGGAATTCAGTACATAGATATCGCAACGGTACCGATATTACCCATACCTAGTAGTTAGTGTAAATTGTATAAAGATTTTTTTATGAAACTTGGGCTGGATACACCCTGTAAAGCTGATTACGGTCTGGGTCTGATAAAATATTATTACATAAGAAAAAATGTGTGTATTCCTATTACATTCGCCCCATTTCGTTCCAGTCACAACCAATCTCAAACCGTTTCTACTTACCATACCAAGATAGGACCAAGAACGATCTGAGACAATTACAGTATAGATCCGACTTTAGATTAGGAAACAATGTACCCCATTTGATAGAAAGAGGTAACCGTCGCCTACAAACATGAACAGTATTCTGTGATGCACATCATCAAAGAATACTATCTGTGATATCCATGGTACTCCTCATGCATTGACATTCATGATTCTTGAGAACTATGGTGGTTCACATTTACCTCGATAAATTTATATGAATAGTATATTTTTTTACTGACGGTCCCGCGATTGACCTCGACCTCGCCCGATGAAAAATTAAAACAAACGTATGAACGTAACATGAACCGTCATGGATTTGTAAACGTAATAGTTGTCGTACCAGCCGTGTCAACTAACGTAGACAGGAGCCAATTAAAATAAAATGCAGTATTAAAAAAGTGCGCCGGTTTTTAATGTTACACAAATAGAAAAAACTATTCATTATAACATTTTTGTGATTATAATTCATTCTCAGTTGTATCCTGATTTAAGCTATGTAGACCTCGTGTGTATGTGACAACTTTTATATAAATAAATAACTGTGACTAGAAATATTTTCACATAGTGATTACAGAGACGACTTATCTCTAAGGCAAACTGGGCACGAGCTTAGCGACGCGAGCTTACACAGGAGCGCCCGCACGAGACTTTTAAACAAAGAAAAAATAATATAAAATTAATTATGTCAGTAAGTACATATACACCTACTTGTACAATATAAAAGATACTTATAAAATTTATCCAAACTTTGCTTAAGAATGTGTGTACGTACGGCAGTCAGTAATTGCAAAAATGAGTCGGATTTTTTCTGTCCAAAGAGAGTGAAAAATTACCTTCGTTCAACCATTACAGATAAGAAATTAAATTCCTTAGTTCTTTAGTAGATTTAGTACTTCGTAGATTTAACGATGTTATTAACAAATTCGCTATACAAAAATGTAGATGAAGAATCTCCTAATTTTTTTAATAATATTTTTTAAATAATTAATTTATAACTTCAGTCATCAATATTTACTACTTCTAGTACTAATCAAAATTTATATAATAATGGCCCGCTAGGCAAGCGCATATGCGGTGCTTACGATGTTATCGAGATTTAATCCGTCTCTCAATTACTTGCTGTATAATGTTAACAATACCTATGTGTGTAAGAAGTACAGCGTTTACTCCACATAAATTTGTATAAATTATCTATTATACATAGAGATACAATATAGAGATGTTAGACTGATTCATGACCACGGGATACCTAGTTCTTTATATTGTGCTTCTATCACAACTCGGACACTTCATACAAAAACGATATAATCCACCATCGAGTATCTCTGCAGTTTCATCTTGAACTTACAGCAGCAGTATTTCCGAACCGATACGACATCGTAACCTTCAAGAGCATACTCCTATTTAAACCTATTTACAGACCGGGAGCACACCTGCAATGCCTATGTTTCTGTTGTGGGTGCTAATGCGCGGCGGTAGTTATTTATCATCAGGTAAGCCACACGCTCATTTGATCCCTGTGTTATAAAAAAAATCTTTAAACTACTAAGATTTGGTTTATTAAATAATACGCGCAGCGCATTATTTTTAAGAGTCTATTAGAGTGGCGGTACAGGTCAAATATTTGACAATAACAAATCTTACATTACTAGATTGTATTTGAATTTGATAAGGTCATACGGCCGTATAACATTTTCTATACACTAGCTTGCTATCAATTAACAATTTTATCACTCCTATGTAATTCCTCGTTCTTAGAGACAGACAATATCAGTGTTGCCAAATTATTACTCCACAGTTATCCAAAATCACTTTACTTGCCATATGTTATTTACAGTTATAACATCAATTTTTTACTCCATTAATTGGAATCATCGTTGTATGCTATCGATTATATTTTATTATTTACTTATTTTAAACAATAATTAAAATAAGGTTCTTTTATATATTCCGAAGTAGAAATATATTACTTAAACATTTTAAAGTACGAGGTTTGTCCGGAAAGTACGTATAAAAGTTTTTTAAAAATTTTATTTTACAATTATTCAGGTAAATCAATTTTATCCCCTTCAAAGTACTCCCCCTGTGACATAATGCACTTGTGCCAACGCCGTTTCCACTGTGAGAAGGCTCCTTGAAAGTCCTCTGGTTGTAGGTTTCTCAGCTGCCCCGTCGTAGCTTTTTTTATCTCATTTATGTCCCCCAAATGCCGCCCCCGAAGTACCAATTTGGTTTTTGGGAACAAGAAGAAGTCACACGGGGCCAAATCCGGCGAATAGGGGGGTGTTCGGTCACCGTAATGGAATTTTTACTCAAAAACTCACGGACAACAAGAGAGGTGTGGGCAGGGGCATTGTCGTGGTGAAGAATCCAACGCCCCTCTCGCGCCAATTCTGGACGAACTCGTGCCACACGAGCTTTGAGGCGTCTGAGCACATCGACGTAGAATTTTCCATCAACTGTCTGGCCTGGAGGGACGAATTCTTGATGTCTTCCACTCTTTGCTTTGGGATTTTACTGTTCTGAGATCGGCAAAAATTTCACGGCCATTCTTGCCGAGTTTCGAGAGAAACTTGATTACGACGCGCTGCTCTTCAACGGAAGCGGGCTCCATGCCGACGGGGTTTCGTTAAGAGGTAACTTCACAGATGGCGTGACAAGCCAGTTCGCACCGCACGGCGGTCAGACCAGAACTGAAGCATTGTTAGGGACATAAGGAAGGGGTTTACCTGGCCTCCCCACTCCTCTTTCTCGCATTCCAGAACACTTTTATACGAACTTTCCGGACAGACCTCGTATATAAGTACAATGCAAAAAAAAACTACGACTGGACTTTAAAGAATGTGAAACATAAATTTTTTATATTTTTGCACTACAACTTTCAAACTACGTATAATACACCATAGATATGTAAAAAGGCCTTAAAGTTTTTCCACAATTTTTTTCTATTCACCCCGTCAATTCTATTAAACCCGTTCGATAGTAATTATAGTTTCTGAATAGGTCTCCAGAACACCACTAATATTCGCTTACTAGTTTTTTTTAATGTAATACCTACATTATTAGATAATATTATCCATTAGTTATAATATTTTGATAGTATGTTCTATTAAGTCTAAATAATATAAAACATATTCAAACGTTTTCGATTAAGATATAAAGCAAATTAATCCAATTAGTCTTACAGTTAAAATGTATTAAAATCGAGATTGACAGCAAATATCGTATAATTTTCGCAATTACAATTCTGCTGTTATGAAGAGGAGAATACAAACTACGTCGAGTGACTTTCTCTTGCCTACTTTTTTTTTTATAAGATTAAAAATTATTGTAACTAAAATGGTTCATTCGCGCGTAAATTTAAAATTTAAATGCTAATAGCATTTTTTTACTTTATTTCATTTAACATTCTTTATTTAAGGTTGTTATATATTTACCGAAAAAAATGTCATTTCACAATATAATCACAAACTTATAGGTGTTCTTAAAATTAATTATTTTATTTCCCTTATTTTCATTTTATTTATCGAGGTGGATGTGAATTTTCGGTAGTACTGCGATCTATTTTTGTAGTGATTGTCATCTCCAAATCCGTGAAAGGTAGGTAACCGTACATAAATACATAAGAATTTAAAATAAATTGCTAGCTTGTGCTTTCGTTTGGAGCAGTTAGGACACCGTGCGTGCGGAAAGTCGTTCAAACAAAGCTCTATTGAGTAATACCTACTAAATAGTTTACTGCATTGTGAAAAAAAATCTACGCTGTGTCACAATAATTTCATTATTTAAATAAATAATATTTAAAAACTTAATTAAATGTCTTTAGATGTAATTAATAGTGGATTAAGATGACTTTCAACATGAACTCCAAAGTCGTAAGTAGAAAGTAACCTGAAATCTAAGTAAAATATGCGATTCGCGTCTTTTATTATCTATGATTAGATATTTATTGATATTTCTTATCATTTCTTTGATATTTCTATCATATATTACAAAGACAATGTAAGTATGAATAAATCAACTTTAATAAACATTAACGTCTCAACTGTAGAAATAGAAACATGAGTGAAAGCATTGCGGTTAGTAATAATTACTCAATAATCTACCAAGTGTAAAGTATTCCTAGTTTTTTGTGGTGTGGTACCTTATTACGTAGTGAATACATTATTTGTAGCGTCCGTCTACTACATTCAATTGTCTTGTATGACACAGTGATATTGTGATAAGTAGGTAATAAATGATCATAAGTTACATGATAAAAGTTCAAGGTTATTTATAATAGTTAAAGTTGAATCTCTGAAATCAGTCACTGGTTAATGGACTCTATACTTAGGGTCCAACCAAGGAAACAGAAGAAAAGTATTTTCAGTGTTTAAAAAATTACTATTACTAATTTGCAAGTGTTTTAATAATAAGAAAGTGAAAATATGAGTTATTTAAAACTAGCAATTACTGATTTATTTGAAGGAATACCAGTATGTTGTTTTTTCATATTTACTTAATATAACCTTTTTATTATTAATGATTAGACAAGAAGTACCTTAATAAAATAAAGGAAGTACATTACCAAACTTGATTAAATTGAGATTTTAATCTATTATAGGCCTGGATAAAAAAATAATTTACAAACTATACAAAGTACTCAATAAGTAGATATCTATGATGTGCTTATTACTTTAATGTTGAATCTATATATTTCATTATCAATTAGCCACATTTGTTCTAAATATTATTCTTTGATAAGTTTGACACTCTGGCAGCTAAAAACTCATTTATAGGTTAAAACTTATGTTACTTTTAAACAAAAAACTTTAGGATAAGTATTTGCAGGTAAAAAATTGTGATTATATTGTATTTTGTATTTGTAACTTTGTGTTTTTGTCAAATAATAATAAATAAAAAAATAAATAAATATATTATATTTATCATAATACATTAATTACTAATGTAATCAAATGTTTAATGTTTAAAATGTTTATGTAAACCACCGAAACATCTAAACAGGTTTAGATGGAATTTTACACTTGTAACAATATTACTATGCCATATTAGATGAACAATGACATTTATTGCTTTGGTAATATCTTCTCATAGGATGAATTACAATATAAATCTATACAGTGAAGTTATCAGTGTGATCTGTCAAAAAATGTGGAAGTAATATGATTATTTTCTTGCATATAATTTTTTTTACAATTTGCAACAAGTGCCAACAATCTTCGATATATCTACAGGAGTCACCAGTATTGACTAAGAAATTAATATAGTTATCTTCTATAAATTTTTCCCAGGTTTTACCCATTGTGGCAGGAGTTGGTGCAGTGGTCATAGTTGTTACTGTGGTTGCGAACTTTATATGGGGCAGAAAGTCAACAAAAAGTCAAAATAAACTTGTTGCTTTAGTAGACCCCAACACAAAATACAAATTGCCTCTTATTGAACGGGAGGAGATCAGTCATGACACAAGAAGGTTCCGTTTTGGTTTACCTTCTAGTGAACATGTTTTAGGTAAGCATAATTTTTGATGTAACATATTGTTCATTTAAATATCACTAAATGGTCGAGGGATGGGCAGCAGCATTCCTCTTAAAACATCACCAAAACTTAACTGTTGTTACTAACCTGTCTGCTAAGTGTGACATTAATTTGCAAAATGTCCCAAAATAGGGAAGTATATCTTCAGTAGTAACACAGTTAATGGCTGATATGATGATGATGATGAAATATCACTATATTCCTATGTTCTATTAAAAAGTTATTCATCATAAGTTAACTATGACTCACTTTTCATGATAATCTATAGTCTTAATTATTTTTTAAATTAAAAATAAATTATGTAGATAAATGTGACAAAATTTTGTAATGATAAACCCCTATAATCAAATTATAGAATGTTAAAAAAGCTGACTCTTCATAGTTATAAAATTGAAATTAAAAAGAATATGTTTTACAATAATGCTTTTTACACAATTCCAGGCTTACCAATTGGTCAACATATACATTTATCAGCAAAAATTGATGATGACCTTGTCATCAGAGCATATACTCCAGTATCAAGTGATGATGAAAAGGGCTATGTTGATTTGGTTATTAAGGTATAAAGTGTTATTGAATCATAATTAATATTAAATATCAATTTACTACATTTAATTATAATTTTATATGTTACTCAGCACTGTTGATAGTGTCAATATGTATTGTATGTATTGTTAATTTGACTCACTGTCGCCTGTATTAGTGATTAGCACCATTTCAACCAACACTATAAGTAATTCTTTTTCCAAACAGATTTTATAATGTTAACATATTTTCTTGTTTTTATGTCAAACAAATTGTAAAATAAGTAATTAGTGTCACAATATTGAATTATTGCATTGGTATTAAAGGTGAAACATGGCAGCAAAATTTAGAGAGTACAGAAGCATAACACCTTTAATCCTTAGAAATAATACACATGAGGATAATGTTATCATCATGTCCATGATGTCTAAAATGCTCATAGGTATATTTAAGGGGAAGCCGTGATAATTGTCTGATATCCACTCCAGGATGCGTAAGAAACTTTCCACTATGAGAAAAACATGTCTCAGAGTATGTAATGTACCTTTGTGAAGAAGCTAGGCCCCTCCTGTGGAAATTAATACGCCAGAGATGATGCTGTTAATGTCTATAGACAAACGGTTACTACTTTCCATTAAGTGGGCATTAGCATATTTATCTATTACTTATAGTTATATTAAAAAGAATAATGAATTTTTAATATTAAAAAATCAGTATAATGAGAATTGAATTTATATTATTGATATTTAATGATCCGTTTCACATTCTTTAGGTATTTGTAATTATAAAATAATACTACTTGTAAAATTATAATCAAAAATTCATACTTTCGCCGCCATTATCTAGATACAGTGTTTATCTATCTAGGTATCTTTGTGTACTTTGTTTAACAGTGATAAAAAATTAATTAGAGATTATGTCAGATTTCTACAAAAAATTTTATACTAAACCATGGTCTATCCAATTCGTGCTCACATATATTTTTAATAACGCAATTTTTATTTTACTTTGTAGGGAATCATACCCTTACGGGGATTTCATTAATCCCAAATGTATTATTATAATATTTAGTTACACTATTTACACGTATATTTTTTTAGGAGAAAGATGCCTTCTTGTCCCAGAAAATTCTTACATTAAAAAAATGTATTTTTTTTTATGTATATATAAATAAACTAACTTCAAATACACATACACTAACTATCCTTACTAATATTATAATTGTGAAAGTGAGTTTGTTACCTTTTTGCACCTTAACAGGCTCAACCAAGCATCTTCATGATGCAATATTTGAGATAGAAAAGACTTGGCCACTTTTTATCCAAGTTTATCAATATACCTTTCGCTTTTACGTGGACGAAGTCACGAAGTAAAAAGTAGTGAAAAATAAATCTTGGGTATTTAGATTTTTCTGTAAATTTTGTCAAATTATCATTAAACCGAGCAAGTAATTTACATTTTCATATAATTATTACTTGTTTTCTATCAGGTTTACTTCAAAAATGTCCACCCTAAATTTCCTGATGGTGGTAAATTATCACAATATTTGGAAAACTTGAAACTCGGGGAAACAATTGACGTTCGTGGACCATCTGGAAGGCTGCAATATGCAGGAAAGGGTACATTCTTAATCAAGAAGTTGAGAAAAGATCCACCACTCAAAATTGTGACAAAGAAACTTAATATGATTGCAGGTAAAATAATAATTTATCTACTGTAGTTTTATAGTAATAGTTTAGAATTTCTTCTTGAATAATATAAAATAATGGAGAGCAATAAATATAGAATGTATTTAGTTAATACTTTTAGATACAATAACAAAGCATTTGGCCAGCAGTTAAATATGATACAGGCTTTAAAAACGTTTGATCATTGCATTTGCAGGAATAAATTGTTCAAAGTATTAGAAAGTATAGGATATGGTGAGTCTATGTAGCTTATTTAATTCAAATCTATTGTGCCCTTAATATGTGATTGGAAATCTTTTTTGAGCCTATTTTAATGCCAAAATTTGTCACTCAGCAGTCACTCAGCACATACAAATGCAACATGTAATATATTTGATTAATATGTTATTTCTTCACAGATTGACTTTACTAAGTTTACCTGTGGTTTAAGAGTACTCAGAATTGAGAATAACTGACCTAACTAGCTAAATCTATGATCAAAGAAGCTTTAGTCTTACTATAAATACAGATAAAATATACATTGCTGTTGCATTAATAATTTCAACAATGACTTCAATTTTACTGTATGTTTAATTGCAGAACAGATGTGCCGAGTTGACATTTTCTTGGCTCATTTATTATCTACCTGTGTTAAATTATATACTTGTTATATGTGACACCTAAGCTTTCTTTACAGGTGGTACTGGCATCGCGCCAATGCTCCAACTCATCAGACACATATGCCAAGAGCCCAATGATAACACGGAGCTGCGCCTGCTGTTTGCCAATCAGAGCGAGCAAGATATCCTGCTTAGAAACGAGCTAGAGAAGTACCAACGTGAACACCCAAAGCAGTTTAAACTGTGGTATACTATCGACAGAGCTAATGAAGGTTAGTATTAATATACAAAACTTTTTTTTTTCTAAATTCTGATACCACATCTTGTTAAAACTGCTACACCCATGCTACACGTACAATGTCTATTTGATATATCAATAATACAGATATATTACTTTTTATTTTATTTTAATAATTGTACATTTGATACTAAGTAAATCTACAAATCATTTTGGAATAAATAGTATTTAATACACGTAGATTAGGTTTACACATGAAAAAAATAATCCATAGAGATAATATAATATAATATAGTAATTATTAATACGGAGAATATCCAATACGATTCTAGGTTATCATTAAGAATTTATTTACCTTAGATATGTATACCATATTTATTTTACATTTCTCTTTAAGTACTCTATTATGTTATTTGAAGTAATTCTATTTACTGATAACGTAGTCACGTAAAGCGATCTCGATCTAAGATGACTAGCTATCATATACAAGTGCCGTGCTTAAGATCTATATAATATAATCCTCAATTAGAGATAAGAGGAAATACGTGAAGTCGTTCATGTATCTCTAAATAAGATTTATCTATACATGTAATAATGACAATAAGAGGTATATCAGAGACGACTGACAGCAATATCTGTGGATGGATTTTAAATAATATTAATCATGTAACAAATACATCTATTTGTTTTGTCAAAATTATGTCAAACGTGAACACGTATACAAATAAATAATCAGATGTTTTGTACACACATTACATTGAGAAAAAATTAGACCAATCAAGAAGTTTTTTAGAAGTCCATTACTAAATAAATATGAAACTAAAAAAATATGCAAAATACCAAAATAAATGTTGTTATGACTGTTATTTGGACGGCTTTTGAAACGAGGTCCCGGATTTGGTTCTCAGTCAGGTTAAGTTAGGAAAGTAACTTTGTAAATTAACTCAAATTCTGAGTCGTATTAATTGTCTAATTTTTTATAGTTTATTTTAAACTTACGCTTTGTTTACACATTTTAAATACACAATCGGGACTTAACGCAATGAAAAAAAATCCTAAAAAGATTTGAGACCCGATTGTGTATTTTAAATGGTTTTATATATATATATATATATATATATATATATATATATATATATATATATATATATATATATATATATATATTCTTTATTGCACTTGTAAATTACATTGTTAATGCATTTATAAATATTGTGAGCAAGGGTGGACTTATCTCTGACAGAGATTTGTGACTTTATATAAATGAGGTATAGAGTTCCATTCCCGATTCAACTATTTTTTACTATCTTAATTAATTCGGATGTAGGTTGTTTGAATGGTACCATAAAATTAAAAAAGATATAATATGTTTGTTGTTGTGTCCCATATGATAGTTGTCTGATTTCTCAAACTCGGGAAATATTTATATTTAATTAAAATTACAGGATGGAAGTACAGTACTGGTTTCATTAACGATGAGATGATCCGAAATCACCTGTTCCCGCCTGCCGATGACGTCATAGTGCTAATGTGCGGTCCCCCGCCTATGATTAATTTCGCCTGCAACCCAGCTTTGGACAAGTTGGGATTCAAAGAGAACTTGCGTTTTGCTTATTAGAACCTTATACCTAAATATTGTATTGTAAATTAACGTGAATGAAACGGGTATTTTACCACGTGACCTAAATAACTCAGTTATTCATTTTTTTATACAAATATTTAATTTTACCAATTCCATCCAACTCGCTTTATTTCTGTTTCTCTGGCATGATATTTATAAAAAAAAAGTATAACATGGGGAATATATATCAAAATACATACTTATGTAATTCTATTTGACCTTTTACTATGATTGATTAATAACCTTTAACTATTCTACTAAGTGAACAAACTTCATTTTTATACATATAAGTTAAGCAGTTGTTACTAGGACAAATTAATCCCAAAACCTTTTAATATTTTCTATATGACTGTATTTGATAAAAATAACAAAGTAACAATATTTTTAACATTTTCATTGTCCAAGCACAATTTAAATTTATTATTAAATTTGGTTTAATGAATGTTGTGGTTGTCATAAGTGTTCTTCGACATTTTTAGATATTATTTTAATGCTCTTTGTTGTATATAAGTATGGATATATTTATACAAATAGAAAATAATACATAGTTTGTTGATTTAATAAAAAGGTTGTTTAAACTATGTCTTTTTTTTATATAGCACGAATTAAAATAACGTGTATGTGCCTATCTACTGTCAGATCGGATGTTTGTTTAAAATTATAAGCATTATATGTGGCAAGTAAACATACTGATGAAGCGCCCTGCGGTGCGCAAACTATATTATGCATTATTGCATTACTACTAGAGTTGCTGTTTATTTTTTAATTGCCTTATGCACGTAGCATTATCCAATACTCTGAAACCTAGATAGGTAATAGATAGAACAATAGGACAGGATACAGATAATAACTTACATTTTGCAATATATTATAAAAATACACATATAAATCTATAATTTAGGAATTTCTTAATGCAATGAATCATGATCCACTCCATAAATAACAACAACACTATAAGCAATTAGATACTACATAAACAGTTAATGTTAACATACGTTACTATAATACATAACGTTACAGATATATATATATACATATGATTATATATATATATATATATATATATATATAATCATATGATGACGTATTTAAATTTTAATTTCCAAAAATTTTTAATTACTAAACATAAAATATATCAAACCTACGTTGCCTCTATCATAGTTCGGACATGCTCGTAAAACCTACATAAATACAAATTGTATTAAAATTACAATATAAGTGGAAAACAACGCAATAATACGAAACGGCAGTTTTCCATCCAATACAAATAAGCCGAAAAAATTATAATTAGAAGGCATTTCGTCGATTAACCAAATAATCTTGTTCGCTGTTTCATAATGTTTGCCTAGAACAATAAAAATAATAATTATAATAATTCACTATTATTATTATAAACGAATGATATTTTGTTGGCAAAAGACAAAAAGTCTTACTTCACATTAGTATCTATGCAGTGTACTTACACATTCACGTGTGCGTGGTATTGTGCATTATTTTTTTTAATGGATGATAATGAATTATTAATGCTATGAGAGATGTATACCATTATAGAGCCTATACCTATATATATAGAAAAAATAAAAATACTTGTTGCACTGAAATAAAATCTTTTTGCCATTCTATATCTATAGAACACCCAATATTTATAAATTTACTTACTTTTTTCATTATGGTAATCCAAAATTTCTAAGCATATGTTTCGTGTATTATCCAATTCCAAAAAAAAACTTTCAACTGAGATACTAAGAGCTGCTATAATCAAGAAATCTTTTAAATTCTTCGTCAGTAGATTGTTGAAACACCACCAAAGATTTCCCTAAAAATAAGACATTATGTGACATACCAGAAGGAGATTTTGTATAAAAGTCGATTGATTGGGTACCTCTGTCCCATTCGTGTTTCTACCGTGAAGCAGTTGTATTTGTATGGCTGTGTTTCGGTTTGAAGGGTGGGATATGGCGTAAATTTACTGGATACAGAGGAATAACACCTGAGTCCTCAGGAATGGTAACGCATGGGGGGTGTCATGGGCGAAACAGTATACTCTGTTATGTCCATGGTACTGCTCATGTCTATAGGCAACGGTTACCACTTTCCATCAGGTGGGCGGTCAGCTTGTTTACCATTCTAAGTTTTATATTAAAAAAAAAAAGACATTTTAGTAATATTGTTATACTTTTCATCATCATCGATATATCAACCATTATCTGACCACCGCTGAACATACATCTCCTCCATAGATTACCATAAAGAACGGTCCTGAGCCACCTGCATCCACTGACTCCCTGCAATATATTTGTGGTCGTCACTCCGTCTAGTGGGGGGGTCGTCCTAAACTGCGTTTACACGTACGGACTCGCCACTCGGTAACATTTCTTCCTCATCAGTTGTCGATTCTCCGAGCTATGTGACCGACCCATTATTACTTCAGCTTGCTTATTCTTCGGGCTATGTCGGTCACTTTGGTTCTTTTGCTGATACCGTCCTTTCGGTTTCTGTCACGTAAAAAAAATCTGAACATACCCCTCTCCATAACTCGCTAAGTAATTTGAAGCTTCTGCATAAAGGAAATAGTGTAGGACCATGTTTCGGTTCCATAGGTCATCACTAACGACACGTACTGGTTAAACACCTTCGTCTTTAAACTTTGAGGTATTATAGATAAGAAGATGTGGTGATTTCTGAACGCTGGTAGGCTGGTTAGGTAAGCTAACTACTAAACTACTGAACCAATTTTAATAAAATTTCTATGGGTCCAATCTGTAAGTAATATCTGTATATAAAATCCATTCAGATAAAAAAACCAAATCCAAATCGGTTTAAAACTGACGGAATTATGAAGTAACAAATATATAAAAATATTCAACCGATTTTTTTAATTCGGGTGAACCCTACATCCAATTTGGTACAATAGTTTTTTGCGTGATGCCAGAACAAACATAGAGACTGATCATACGTACTGGTCGAAGCCCTCTCTTGCCCTCTCCCTCCCCCCCCCCCACCTTGAAAATTGTATTATATGGAAATTAATCTCCTAATTAGAAAAGATATACTCACATTCATATTTATTTCTAGTAGTAATTCATAAACACGTAATATAAACCATAAGAAAGATGAAATGTTGAAGAAAAATATCTGTAATTCGATAAAAAAATTGTAACTGAATTAATTATGCATGACAGGTTTCCCAAATTTCATTTATACTTTGATAAATAATATATGGATCGTCCCATAATTAGACTTTCTTTATGAAGTCGCTTCTCATAAACCTTTCTATCCACCCTTTGTCGGCTTATGCGAAATGTCTTTTCATTCGGCCAGCCTATTGCCATTTTAATTTTCTAATCCTTCAGACTAAAGCAGAAAGGGCTAGTAGTTTTATTATTAACTATATGTTTTGTCATATAGACTTATGAAAACCATCTTGGTTAAGTCCTGGTGAATTTATCACGACAGGCCCACTGACTTGATTTAATTCTCACTTATCATTACTCACTGGTACCACGCAAACTTATAGTGCAAAAATTGCTTAAAAGTCTATACGAAAATTATATAAAGCACACTTACTGGTGATTTGTAAAGCTCTTTTAGCATATTGTGAGAGTGCACAATTCTTTCTAAAATGTGAACATACTTCTCAATATCTGTATTCTGGCACTTCATTCTTTTTTCGTTAACAAAAAATATATTTTGTGGTTTTTGTATAACATTAGGTCTTTTACAGTATTTATTTTTTAACGATCTATTAAATTCTTGTATTTTAATTTTCAAAAAATTACAAACCTTTAACCAAAGTAAAAGATCAAAATCTTGAATGACAGATAATAAAAATCTGTTATAAAAAGGTAAAATCCATATGTCTAATTCTTTAAATCTTTCATATTCCGAAAGAAAATTTATAACGAAAGTAATATTTAAAATTAAGCTTATAATCAAGATTATATCCAAATGATCTATTCCTTTAAACTTGGACACAACTACGGAAATACTCTTGAGATAACCATCTATATCTAAACACGTTTTAAATAATCTACATGCGAGTTTGCGTGTAACGATAATATTAATTGTATAGTAGTAGTATAATCCCACGAATGAGAAAAATCTTAAAACTTTTTGCAGATTAGTATGATCAATATGAACCACAACAGTTCTATACGCCATGTGCATAGACAACATTCCTGTTATCAAAAACCAATATATAGGTCTTGGAGATATTTTATCTTCTTTTACTATTACTCGCGAAGTTCCAGTCAAAATTTGAAAATAATATATTATTTTTGTTGACTTCAAGAAATACATTTTCTCCTTACAATTTTCTTTCATCCTTTACAACAAATATTTTTATTGTAAGCAATAGTGCAATCAATTGGGGTAACTTCTGAAAGACTGATTATTTGTATATGATAACTTATGTAAAGTTTCGTAAATAAAATATGAAGCACTTACAGAAAATAGGTAATAATCGTCGTAGACGGCGTAATGTAAGTGTAGGTATATCTTGTTCCACCAACGACGATTAGCGAGGAGCGAGTTAAACTAGTAACAAATTGGTAAGCAACGAATAGTCAGTATGAAGAGATAAAGTTGTTAATAAAGAGGAAAAGTCCCATTACTTGCAATATTCCCTGTTAACACGACGACCTCCACGTGGATATCCCAAGAAACTATCGTAATTATTTCCTGATAGATTTTGTTTCTAAATAGCTAATATGGGTATCTTGTTTTGGTTTAAAGGATGGGATATTACAATAAAATATAGGATACAGAACAGGCATATTAAGAAGGTAGTAGAGAAAGCCCTGTATAAAAAATAACCTACTTGACAAACCTATAATTTTATCATGCATATATTAGTTTATTAAAACCAAAATATTTCCTGCATTCCATTATTACACTACCACCAGTAATAATTTATATTGTATGCCCTTGACTTATAACACAATTATTTTAAAACTGGTAGGAATAATACAGTGACTAATAGGCTGAATGAAAACGATTTACGGCCTCAAGGGACACAAAAATTAATATATATTAAAATGTACTTTATATTTATTATACCTATACCATTATATTTATTCCTATAATATAACAATAAAGCTGAGATACGCTTGTAAGTTTACAAAGAAATTTATAAGTTTTAGGTAGATTTAAATAATGTATGTATGTATCTATCTTCTTACTTAAGTAGGTAGATATTTTTGAACACTTATTGCAATATTTGCACTTTACATATCTATAAACAGCAGGATTACATGATCGATTAAATACGAAAAGTCAAAGAAAAGAAAAAAAAATAGGTACGAAAGGTTCAAAAATTATTTTCAGATTCCCAATATACCTATCACTAAATTTCGCCTTACAATCACGAGGCACTTATTACGCCTAATTCTGTAGAAGTAAAAATCTGATACCCTTTCAGTTTCATTTTAAACTCAAAGACATATAGATACTTATTTTCAAAATTATAGTTAATTATGTTATGTTCGTAACGGACGCTAGGTACTTGCAAAGACATTCAGAATAAACTTTTAAACGGTTTTACTAAACCTTAGAAATGGACGGATAGATAAATACGTATTACCTTAGGTAATTACCGAAATTAAAGACACAACTAATGAATCCAAATAATAATATAAATAAAATGGTTCTGATTTATGTAAAAGACATTAATACCTTTTTAATTTGTTATCTTTACATTTTAATTAAAATCAATTTAATCAACGTTTTAACAAAAAAAAATGAAAACAGATAAAATACTATACAGACATTTTTACGTATATAGTATATGTACCTATTAATACTTCGGCATTACGGTAAATTAAAAATCTATTAACGATAACTATTGATTGACAATCATATATACGTTTCGGAATCTCCATCGAAATAATCTGCTGGTAAATCAAGTCGTATAAACCAACAAATAAAATGATAAACTTCAAAACCAAAGAAAATTTATTTAAAGATATCTTAGACGATGATTTCGCTAAAATATTTCAACCTATACATATCTTTCAAAGTTTAATAGGTTTTAATCGTGTTAATATTAAATATAATTTTGTTACAAGTAAAACCAAGTTTTGGAAGGGTTACAGTATTATGTTAATGTTATTGAATTTAATATGCACCTGCGATATTGCAGTGAATTGTGAATTTAATTTGAAAGCCAGCTCTTCTAATATTTTTTATAAATTGGGCATTATACTGCACTACGTGTTGTGCTTTGTTATAATGTGGCGTAACAATTTCTTGAATTATGAAGTAAACAGTCAATTATATGTGAAGTTACAGAATATCGATCGTGTTTTAAATATGCAAGATAAAAAATCATTAAACAAAAGGACCTCATTTCTATTACAAGTCTTATTACTTCTACTTTTAATTTACAGTGCAGTATTAATATTTACAGGAGTTCCATATTTAACAAAAGATTTCACTTTGTCTCTATATTTTACTCTGACACTGAACGTAGGACAATACGTGGAAATTTTACTATCATTTTATATAATGTTTATCGTTATTATAAGAATAACATACATAAATAAATTGTTGGATAATATTAAAAAGAAACAAAGAAATGAAAACTCAATTACCTGTCAGTCGGACTCAAAGAACATAGATGAAGAAACACGAAATATTTTAGTGTTCGGGATACATAGTGTATTAGATACTTTGTCAGATTTTATTACTGTTTTTCAATTTGAGGTGAGTGTATTATTATTTTATAGAATTGCCAAGTCTAATTCAGAAGTCAGAAGAATGTTAAGACTAATCTATACAAATAAAATGTAGGTAAATGAAATTCTAATAAAAATAACTAAGTACCTATTTATACTTAGTAGTAATAGTGACTTGAGAACGGGTACGGAATTTGGCTATTTTATTAAAAAAGAACGCATCATAGTGAAAAAAATGGAATGTATAAGGTGTAGTTTTTACTAATTTAGCATTATTAAGAATAGTAGTAGTTTACATATATATATTATATATTCTATATATTCTACTTTAATAAACCTACTGAACTTATAACAGTAATTATTGTAAAATACTCTAGTACATTATCACTTTTATCTTATAAATTGTAAACATCTTAAAAATGTGTATCTACTTGAAACATATGTAAGAAACATATTATTACTCTAATAAGTTATGCCTTCTACATTTCAGATTTTTATTTTCACATGTCACGTGATTACTTGGGATCTTTTAACAATACAGATCACGGTGTCTGCGATCAAAGAACAGGTACGGATTATTTTTTTACATGAGTAAATTCTTTTATCTCGAAATAGTTATCTTTAGTTGTACAGAATTAGTAGTAACATGGAAGAAAGGTTCTTGAGTGGTGACCCCGTACGGGCAAACTCGACGTAGGACAACCCCCCATTAGATGGAATGACGACCTCAAATGCATTGTAGGGAGACAGTAGGTGCAGGTGGGACCGTTCTTTATTGCAGTCTATATATAGCCCATGGATATGGATATATAGGAAGCCCATGTTCAGGAGTGGACGGAAAATGGTTGAAATGACGATGATCAGATGTTAAAAGACATACTTTCTAGTTGGATATCTGGAGATGAATATTTTTTTTTTTACAACACGGGGCAAATGTGCATGCGGCTCACCTAATAGTAAGTGACTACCGCCGCCTATAATCAGCCACAACACCAACGGCATTGCACATATCGAATCAAAACTAATGATAATATTCATGAAACGAAATAACTCTCCTCATGGAGCTCAGCTGGAATCTCAAAATAGTCGCCATAACCGCAGTAGAAGTATATCACAACCTATAAATAAACTAGAGCGCATACATTTTTAAATTGTAATTCTACCACTGGTTTCAAAACGTCGTTGTATACCGAAATGATGCCGCAGGAAATTCGACATTTAAGACTTTTCAAATTTACAATATAATCTAGAAATTTGATTGTATGCCATGAGTATACAACAATGAAAAAATAATGCTATTATTATAATAACAAATACTACAATTTATTTTGTTTGACAGACGAGCGGCGACTTCACATTCGTCACCATGTTTCTACTTCCATATATGATAGGATTGGCTATATTAGTAATTTTTATGTCTTTCTTGGGTGAAATTTTAAGCTCAAAGTTAAAAACTTGTCGGGAACTTAATATTAACCTGTTATCATACAGTGATGGTACGTATATGCACTATGGTACTTTTTTAAGAATTTCGATTTTGTTACATTTATAAATAAAAATTAAATAAAGTAATTAGGCTATACTAGTTAGATAGTAGATTTCATGTTATATTACACCATATTCGACTTTTTCATTACTTAAGTTCACTTAAATGCCGGAATTAAATTCTAATTAAGCCGACCTAAATACATACATCTATCCAAATACAGTTGTTCGTTTGTATTACATTGCAATTGTTATAAAATTTATAAAATACCTATTTTCATGATTGTGATATACGTTAGAAACACTTATATTTCGACCATAATAATAACATAAATTCAGTTGGTGCAACTGCTTTGTGAGGGGAACCGCTGCCAGATGAAGTGATGCCCTTAAAAATGTTGTAGGGTGTCAATAGATGTAAATGTTAATTAACAATAAAATATATTAACAATAAACATGAATGTATTTAATTTATTACACAAATACTGATTAGTACTTTCATATACTTTATATAGATATATTATAATAATTTCACTAAGTATATATTTGTTTCAGACAAAACCAGGACAACTGCAAAGCAAATGCTGTCATTACTCGTTGAAAAAAAGTGTATAATATCCATTTATGATATTTTTACATTAAATACTCAACTACCACTCAACTTTCTTGTTTTTACAGCTAATTATTCAATAGTATTATTGCAATTTGCCACATTGTAACGTTTAAATAAATAAAATATAAATAATAATATTTTAATTATTACTTAAAAAAATATTGTACAGTTTCATGATTTGCACATAGTCTAATATAAATTACAATGTCTACTGAATATCTTTCAAAAGACATATTAGATGAAGAGTTCATGAAGATGTTTGCACCACTAGAACGCGTTCAAATGGCTTTAGGATGTTATCGAGTAGATTCCAAACACAGATTTGTAACAGAACCGACATTATACCAAAGGATTTATACAATTATTTTGACAGCGATCGCCACAGTTTTGTACACACTAATGTCGAAAATGATTTTAAAGAATTTCTACGAGGATTATTACGTTTACAATTCGTGTTTGGTAATTATTGTGTTACACTGGTGTTTACTTTATAGTAACGTAATTCATGTAAGATTTGTAAACAGCGAAGCTAATGCAAAATTTTATATAAAGTTGCAAAAAGTTGAACATGTTATGAAAACTAGTCATAACAAAACATTGAATATCATAATGTACAGACTCAATTTAGCAACTATAACACTACTACTAAGTACATACATCATACTTTATTTAATTGTATGTATAAATGATCTCCAACTCGCTGTTTTAGCAATTGGAACGACATACTTTCAAATTGTTTACATGCTAGAATTTGCACATTTTACAAATCTATTGTTTTATTTTACCATACGGATACAATTGGTTAATGGTATAATTATCAATCATTTAAAACTATATAATGGGCCCAAATTGATGAGTAAAATCGAAGCTCCAACAAAGAATTTCTTTATAAAATTAACAAGAGAGGCCCATAACTTGGTATTATGTGATATCGATGTATATTTAAAGGAATTGTTAGAAAGTTACTCTATTTTCCAAGATATTTATAAATTCCAGGTATGTATTATAATTTTTTTTATATTATAAATAAATACATATGCGATTCTTGAAAGAAGTTTTAAACAATTTTGGATACTGAACCTAATTACTTAGGTACTTAATTTACTGACTTTGAGCTAATCTCTATAATATCTCAAATGATTTTCATAAAATTTTATAAATGTGTGTTTTTTGCTCTAACTTTGATCGAAAAATATATTTTTTACCTCCGTAAGATAAAATGGACCCGGTAACTGGTGGTAGGATCAACTAGTTTAATTTATATAAAAGCCCACACATAAAAAAGTACCCTATGTGCTAAATTAGGATATAACCTACCCGTGTACCAAATTTCATTTCAAATTCAAATTAAATCCAAATTCATTCAAAAATTACTGTATGAAAAAGAAACAAACATTCATCCATCTATCTATTGTTACAAATTTTTCATTTATTTTGTTAGAATAAGATTATAGGATTGTAAAGTCGACTAGTCAATAATTACTATTTGCTTTCATTTCAGATTTTAAATTTTCTGATAAAGTATCTCTCTTTTATGTTTTTTACTTTCGGATTTGTAATCATCTTTCTGCAAAAGCACGTAAGTACCTATATTTTTATTACCAAAAGCGTGACTCTTAACTTTATCACATATTAATTATATATTAGACATACAAATTGCCAAAATTGCTGACTATTTTCATCAACATTTTTTAATTTAACATTTAAGATTTCTGCATGTGCTACTGAAGTTTTTGAGACCATTTACTCGTACTGTCAGCATAAACTTATTTTCTTACATATGAAGATATAATAGTTCCATACCCATAAAAACTGCTTAAAAAAATATTTTGAAATCAAAATATCTATGTCGACCTCGCTAAAATAGATTCATGTTTTGACATAACAATATATTTCAGTAAATTTCTCTATAATATAAATATATTTTAAATGGACTATTACTGAATGGTGACCCCGTTTGTGCTATCGGTATTCGCTCGCGGCGCGCTAGTAAGCGATGATAGATGAGCATGAGCGGCCTATTGTAATTAATTCCCCAGAAATTACACATACAAGATTGGCGACGCGCACTTGTCACTCCTGGTATTGCAGGCATATAAGACGGGATGTATGTTTGTTTACTACCTTTGTAATAAAAAAATATTAACCACAAAATTTTCCAAAGGGTGCGGCGTATAGGTTGATCTGATAGTATATATTATTAGCACTTTTGTCCCATTACTAACAGTTCTTTCGTTCCTCCCGCAATATAAATTGAATAAATACTTATGGGAACTAATATTATTGTAACCTCAATTAATGTTTCAGATTATAAAGTACTACGAAGCTCTAGCAACAGTGGGCTTGACAGTACTTGATTTAACCACGTCTATCTTCGTATGCTTTCGTTCTGAACAATTCCTAAGAAATGTAAAAGAAACGAAGCTTTTGTGTATAACACTCTTGGGAACGTACTCTTATGACGGTAACTATACAATATTTGTACCCTCAATCTGTCTTAGATTTATAAAAAAGATTTATAAAAAAAAAACAGTATCATGACTATTTCTGATACCATTCGACCAATTTTAGTGAAATTTTGTATGTCTATTATTTACTTCAACTTGAAAGATAGAACAATTTGTGTTTCAGTAAGAAAAATAGAGTGTTTTAAATAGTGAATAAAACAACAAGCTGCCTGTTACAAAGCAATTACTATGATCTATAAACATGAACCAGCATCATTATGATGGCAAAGTATTTTAAACATGACATCCATTTCTGAGGAGCAAAATGTTAATAAACATAAAATTTAGTCCCTAGAAATAAGAAATAATATAATCTGTAATGCACTTCCATATCTCATTCTACAAACCGAAACACAATCATGCAAGCACAACTACTTGGCATTAGAAACATGAGCAAAATACTTTTATTTCTACCATCAAATTAACTCGTATTTTGGCTGCTGTGTCATATTGTATTTCTGTACAAATGTAAAAATAATAGAACATTGTTTGTTTCTAGGTCGTCTAAGAGAGAAGACTAAGAGAATGTTAAAGTTATTAGAAGATAACCCACCTAGATTTTCTGTGTACGATATGTATTGTTTAGATGCTGGTATTTTAATTAAAATATTCGGATTATCAACCACCGTATTTGTGACTATGTACAATTTACTTGTCTACAAATAAATATTAGTACTTTTGAAATAAAATTATTCAATAATAAAAATTGCGTAAATATATAATTATGTTTTGACAATATTAATTATACATATCTATTAAAAAAGCATACTAGTGCTTATTTTTAGGTTCGTGTATAATTATGTGTAGCATTTATTATATATTAAAATTTGTGAATTACATTTATTTAATTGTTAGACATTTATTTTCATTCAAAAACATATCTGTAGAGTGTTGTAGCTAATAGCTTCAAAATGTTTTAGTGTGATATTATATTTTTATTAAATGTAAATCATATCAACAATTACACGAATTCTGTTTTTCTATATTTAGCACAATTAGTAAACGACAAGATTGTTATTTATTTTGTTATTTGATTTTTACCTAAACCTCAAATATTTTTTCTTCAAATCTATACGATTTCCAGAACTTTTAATGAAAAAAGTCATTGTTTTTTATCCTCCTATTAACTTATCTCCTATTACCATCTCCTTATCTTACCTATTCTATTCTCTGTTTTGCTACCTCTTTATACTTTACAAATACCATAACTATTAAAAAAATAAGCAAATTTCTCTAAATCTATTTTACTTTTCTCCAAAAACTTTCAAGAGTTTTTCGCCAAAATTACACGATCAGAAAAATCTTCACCTACCCAAGATTGCGAAATACACACCGCTGATTAAAAATCAAAGAAACAATAAGATAAATAAATTCTAAAAAAAAAGTATAATAAAAGGAATTAGGATAATTTTTTAGCACCAAATTACTATCATCATTATCATATCGGCCGTTAACTTCTGAACATAGGCTATCCTCATAAGGGAAGTTTTGCCAATAGTTGCCACGCTTGGTACGTGAGTTGGTAACCGCAGTTAAGCTTTGGTGATGTTTTAAGTGAGACGCTGCTGCCTATCCCTCAGCTATTAAATTCCCTTAAATACGTCTTACGACGCTCACGTGAAAGAAAGAGGTGCCCATTCTATGCCGGGACCACACGGCGATTCATCATCATTATCATTTCAGCCATTATCGGTTCACTGCTGGAAATAAGTCTCCTCCATAGACTGCCATAAAGAACGGTCCTGAACCACCTGCGTCCACTGACTCCCTGCAATGCATTTCAGGTCGTCACTCCATCTAGTGGGGGGTCGTCCTACACTGCGTTTACTCGTACGTGGTCGCACACAGCGATTACTATCCAATTAATATGCATAGCCGTAAATGATATTTACAAACTGTTATATACGTAAATTGCTAAGTACCTACATAAATTTTTTTATTAATGGGTATTGATGGAATAGTAACCCCGCCTGCGCTATTGGTATACACTGGCGGGCCATCAGTGAGTGATTATAGGTGATGATGAAAAGATAGGCCATCATGATAAATATACTTGTAATTCAGCACCATGGTTTCCAGGGGGAACCACGTGAAGGTCGACCTGGTTGGATATGTTGCTAGCAATGGGGCCTTTAGTCTCCATTGTTAACAATCCCTCCTCCCCCCCCCCCCCTATGTACATATATTGCTGAATGAATCATCATAGAAATCTTTGCTGAAGATAAGATTCGACATATAGGTAGAACTCATTGCGGACCTTTATATAAAAGGTTCAAAATGGAAAATTGTAGTAAGTAATCATAATAAAAACTTTTGACACATAAAAGGAAATCATCAGTTCAATATAATTTATTATTTAATAATGTGTTATTAATGATGGGTATATTCAATACATTAATAGCCGTCAATAATTAATTCATTTTTAAACAGTTTATTTTTTCGTTGATTTTATCATATCTAATCATATCATAATGTAAGAGCTTTATTGTAATTAAGTATATTAAAAATGGCCTTGTGGTCCCAGCATAGAATAGATAGATAGATACTCTTTACTGTTTCCTCCCCTTCTTTTCCCGTGGGTGTCGTTAGAATCGACTAAGGGAGGACGAGGGATGGGCAGCAGCGTCCCTCTTAAAACATCTCTAAAGCCTGACTGCGGTTGCCAATTCGCCTGCCAATCGTGGCAACTACTGACAAAACCGCCCAAGTGGGAGGATTATATTCAGCAGTGGACAGTTAAAGACTGATATAATGATGATGATATTAAAAAATAAGCGGCATTGCTTGGAGTGAAATCGATTATGTATGAGTAAATATAAAAAATATATAAAGTAGATATGTAGGCTACGTCGAAAGTCCCTAGATATATCACATATGGTAATACTAAACAACCTAATGACCATAATAGTTCAAAGTATTCCTGATTCTGATGAGGTTTTTTTTAAGAGATCGAATAGATGTATATAAAATACATACATACATACATATCTGTCACGCCTGTCTCCCATTAGGGTAGGCAGAAACAATGGAACGCCAAATGCTTCGATTCAAACAGACCACTTTCGCTTCTTCCACATTCATCAATATTTTTATACATACTCGCCGGTTACGGGTACTTTTAATTTGGCCCTTCTTCAGCACGTCGCCTATTTGGTCAACATACTTATATAAAATACTACTACTTATTTACATAAAATACCCGATGAACTTATTATTTTTATTTCATTTTTATTCAACTGCCAAAAAAAGCTATCTATATTTTAGCAGACGATAGAGTTTAGCCTTAAGTTGTGTAATTAACTATTCTAATTTACTAAGATAATAATAGGTCACAGTATTACGTCAATCGTAAATTTATCATCGTTATATCATTTGCACTCACTATTAACAACAATTATCTATAATGTCTGTTCACTTTTGTTTTAATTGTTCTAATAAACTTGTCCTTTTGAAAGTCAACAACTGCAGAATATTTGATACGTTAAAAATTTTAAAATGAATATTATGGAGATAAAAATACAAACTTCTAAATTGCCGCATACACGTAACAAGTTGGATGTGGAGTTTTTAAAATTATTTTCACCGTTTCATAGAGTCCAATTACTGATCGCGTCCTGTCGTGTACACCCGCTATATGGATATATGACCGTTCTGCCGTGGTATCATAAAGTCTATTCTATATTACTCGTAATTATTAATATATGTATTTACAAGTATATTGCTGGAGTATACACATCAAAATTTAAAAGTTATCCAGGTGTTCAGCGATTAATGATGGTACTAATACCATTACACTTCTCGTCGTATCTCGTCAATATTTTTCACGTAAGATTCTGTAACGGCATAGACAATATAACATTGTATAAAAAAATACAGGAGTTGGAGCATGTTATGAACATAGCTAAAAACAAAACAGTCACAAAAATGATATATAAACGCCACATGGTTGCGGTGGCCCTTGCTCTAATCCCTTTTATTTCCTTACTGTTTATCGCATGCAATATAGGAATACCCGAAACAGTAATTATGATAGGAGTAACGTCTACCCAAAGTCCATTTATTCTTGATATGACACAATCTATAACTTTCTTAATATATTTTTCAAAACGTTTCCTCATAATCAACTCTATATTACTGGACTATTTAAATAAAAAGATGATATTACAAAAAAAATGGGCCGGAGAAGGATTCGTTAGAGAATTGGTAGCAAAAAACTATGACTTCATGTCAAGTGAAACTGATATTTATTTGAGGAAAATATTCGAATGCTTTTCAATTTATCAAGAACTTTATACATTTCAGGTAATTACATCTGTTACATTTTTTCTGTGTATAAAAAGAAATTAATATTTATCTGTATTTTATTATTACTTAAAGTCTTATTGACATAATATCTATGTACTTTTTAATTTTTTAAATATTCTGAGACTTTATGTACTATGTACCAAATTTCATTCAAGTCTGTGTAATCACTTTTGTGGGAAAGAGTGACAAACATCTACCCATTCATCTATCCTTAAAAACTTTCGCATTTATTATAGAGATAGATATTTACATTAATAAACTTATTATAAATACAAAATTACAAAAAAAAAGATTACACTGAAAAAACAATGGGCGGCCTATATTAATAGAATTAAAATATTCATTAAATGTTTATTATAATAAGGAACAAAATACTGTTTTTTGATTATATACATAATATCTAAATTCATAATTGTATTTTTTTTTGTCATTTTTGTAGTTACGTACATGATTGCTGTTTTTTTTTTCAGATATTTGTATTCAGCTGTAAAATTGTTGGATACAGTATGATAGCGTTCGAATTTACACTGCTTACTACACAAAATAACGTAAGTATAAAAATTTTATATTTATGACGTGGTCTACACATATACCAAATTCCATTAAATGCAATTTAAAAGCATATAAATAAATAAATAAACAGCTAAACACATGTATCTGAAATGAAACTATTACAAAGAATACCCTTTTATTTAAATGTTTTTTATTTATTTAAATTTCCATGCACCTATGTGTGTTTGCGTGCGGGTATGCGTGTGTATATGCGTGTACATGTGCTTGTGCGTGTATATGCATGTGTATATTAATGTAAGTAAAATCGCGAACTATAGCTATTATTGTTCAATATAAATTTGTAAAATTACGATAAATGTCTTATAGATATAAAAATATTTGTTTTATAATAAATGCAAAAATAAGTACCGTATTTCAGATTCAATGGATTTGCGTCCTTCGTTGTATAAACCTACGTCGACTTGAGTAAATAATACGCTAGCTTTTAAATTTTTATCATATCTATGTAGACAAGTAGATACAAGTAGAAACACATACAGTGACTTTATTCATGCGGGTTTTTCCAAATAAAAATTACCACATACAAGTACTACCGAGAAAATATCAATAAGTTAATTATCTGTTAAAAAGTGTAACCGTTCTTATAAGAACAATACTAAATATACTTTCGCATTGGCACAACTTGTAAACTTCAGACTACAATTTTTACTGCGCATTTAAGAATTGATCAGGACATATTGATCTAATTAAAAATATAAAACTAGTTATTTTGTATAATATAATTATTTATATTATACATGACATCTCTTTGGTGCAGCAAATGACAAGTTCCTTTGCATAAATGAGGTAATGGGTTCATTTATCATTGAATTTTATTTAGGAAACTTTTCTCAGTTGCCTCGAATCGGGTCTGGATGTTCTTAGGTGCGATTGATTAAGTGAGAACATTGATTGACTAGTTATATGATACAGAATATCCTAACTTATAGACCAGGCAAATTGACGTCATTTGTATGGCATTTATAAATAAAGTAAAAAAAATATAAATTAGTCCTGTACTTGTACTTGTTAATCACGTATTTTCCATTGCCCCAAAATGAAATATTACCACAAATCCATATTCATTAATATTTGTCACTTACTTTAAGAATGGACCGTATCTATTTTATTTAATTTAAAACATGATAACAGTAATAAGAAATATATAAATTTTATTTCAGATTATGGACATGTTTGACGGCATTCTCGCAGTTGTATTGTCAATAGTAGATATATCTATATTCATTTTAATCTGTCTATACTGTGAAATTGTATTTAGAGAAATAAAAAAGCTCAAATTATTAACAATTTCTTTGATGTCAGTCTACGATCAGGGTAAATATTATTATTTATTTATAAATTAAAAGTAAGGTTTTAAGAAATTTTATTTTCTTTCAGACTATATTTACGTACTTACAAGTAAAAATAAACCTCTCACAAGACTTTAATATCTGTTTAAATACAATACCTATTTTTCTCAGTAATTACATATACTACTTTTGTAATGAAACGTATAACTTGTACGTGACATTCCCTTTCCAAATTACTACTATGTAAAATATGAAAATCGGTAATTTTAAGTTATATATTTTAAATATAAAAAAAATATACAAAACAATGAAAAATAATAGCTTTCTTTAATCTAAATAAATGATAGTTTTCTATATTTATGTATGTGTATGTTTAGTATAAATACTGAAAAATTTCTGTTTAATTTTAGGTCCACTAAGGGATAAAGCTAAAAGAATGTTTAAGATTATAGAAAACACTACACCCCGTTTCTACGTATACGACATGTGGGAAATGGACGCTGGTTTTTTGCTTAGTTTTGCAAATGTCATCACTGGACTGATAGTCACACTGCTACAATTTGCTTTTCTATAAAACTTATTGTATTTTGTTTTTCTAAAATTTTACGTCTCAGATACCTAAACGGTCGTGTAAGTAATGTAGGTAACATTAATAATTAATAAATACATTAATACTTTACACTAATACTTAACATTAATACATTAATAAATAATTAATACATTAAATATGTTTTACTTTATTCTATTAAAAATGTCAGGTTTCGTTCTACTGGAAGGCAAATTGCAACTTAAAGATGTTATTTCATGTGTTTATTTTCGACTTCTGTACTGCTATATTTACCTCAAAAACAAAACTGATATAAATCATGTAAATTATTAAAAATATAAAGTATGCAAACACATAAAAGCGTTTAATATATGGACGGGATATATGTATATGGATGTTGAAGGTTAGTTGGACACAAAAATTTGCCAATTTATAACAAAGTTTACACCATAAATTAGTGTTAACCATAAAAAGGCTATATATTAAACACTTACTTAGCCACCTATGATGGGGATATTATATTTTATATGGCTAATTGTTGAGATCCGATAGAAACCACCCTTATAACATACTGTATATGCAGTAACTAATATTAATACTTGAATCGGCTTCACAATTAATTATAGTATTTTTTTTTATACAACTTAGAATGGCAAACAAGCTGACGGCCCACCTGATGGAAAGTGGTAACCGTCGCCTATAGACATGAGCAGTACCATGGACATAACAGCGTATACTGTATATATAGTATGTATATATAGCATATATGTATAGTATGGCGAGAAACCGCTTCGTAAGTCCTTCCGCAGATTTGAAGTGCCGTCTGCACTAGTCCCGTTACCTCTGGTAAAGCTGTAAAGAACATGTGTGGTCAACAGCAATAGTTAAAAAAATGTTTATATTGACAATATATAATAAATATTACGAATGAATGAATATCGACACTGCAAACGATTTATTACATCTCTCAAAGAAAAATGATTATTTTTTTATACTACTTAGAATGGCAAACAGGCTGACGGCCCACCTGATGGAAAGTGGTAACCGTCGCCTATAGACATGAGCAGTACCATGGACATAACAGAATATAATACTGTTTCGCCCACGATACCCCCCATGCATTTAGTAAAGAGCAGCAATCTTTCCTTACATCAATATAAACAAACATAAAATGTATGTCTTCATACTATTAATGTATATCCACATATTTCAAATATTACAACAAAATTCTAATCAATTACAAGAAAAAGTACTCATGTAATAAATTAATCATAAGGACTCGACACGTCAAATAGCATTCGATGAAATCAACAGTGTCAAAAAAAGTATTAGGCAGTAATGCTGGACTCTGAAATAAAAACTAAAAAAAATAATACATGCTCAGCCGAGTATCTATCAAATGATATATTGGACGAAGACTTCTTGAGTTCTTTTGCTCCCATTCGTTGTGTTCAATTAATATTGGGTACATGCCGCGTCGACGGAAGAGACAGATTCGTGACACCGCCTACTTTGTACCAGAGATTATATTCAATGATACTGATAATCTTAATATGTTCCGTACAATTCAGAATAATTTACATATATAATCAGAAATATAATGACTATCGCTACGTATTCCCTATAGCTTTTACATTGTCTTTTTGTATGATATCGATGTACTTAGCCAACATGATACACGTACGGTTCTATGGCTATAAAGATAATGTAAAATTCTATGTAATAATGCAAGAACTGGATCATCTTTTGAAAATGAATCAGAAGAATATTATAAATCAAAACATGTATAAATTAAATGTTTTTACAATTATTTTTATTCTCTCAATATATATGATAGCACTTGTCATTGCAAGTACTCAAGGATTATCAGCATTGATGACTCTTGGTATCACGTTATACATAGACGCGTCGTTTGTATTTGAAACAAACCACTGCTCTAATATTATGGCATATTTTGCATTACGGGTATGTTTCGTCAATTGTATAATAACGAAATATTTGCGAGAGATCGTGAAGAACGAAGTTATAGATCGTATAATACCCAATTACGAAAGCTTCATACGACTCTTTAAAGAGTTTGAAGACAAATATTACGACTACAGATGTAACAGTACTGATATTTATTTAAAAAAGATTTTGACTGTTTTTTCATGTTTTCAAAAATTATATAGATTTCAGGTATGTTCATTTATTATTTATAATATATATTACATTTAAAATTTTCACATAAAAGAAACCAACTTCATTATGATGAAACAATATACAATCAATAAGAAAGTAATTTTAAAGATTGCAAAATATTTAGAATTCGCATCTTTGCGTAATATACACAAAAAATAAAGTTGGAAAGACATCAACGACATTCAAGGACCTTTCTACATACTTTTTTCAACTGATATAAAAAAAAAATACAAATAAATAAGTATCAACTTTAGATTATACTATCAACATTTTTATTCCTTTAATAAATTGTCATAAATATATATTGTTTTGACCTTTCCAGATATTTCTACTTTGTTTGAAAATCATGGTGTATAGTATATTGTCATTTCAATTCGTAATTCTCAGTGTACAACACAATGTAAGTAAAACATGACACCATATATTAAAATACCCGTAAGAAAAAAAATGCCGTAAAATATAAGAATAAAAGAGTCACGTAAAGTGTCTTTCTCACAGCTTCATCTCACAGATCTTGAGAGATCCAAGTTTCGTCAATAGTTATCACGGGGATAGAGAAAAATCACTTGTCATTCATTTATGAACTTGTTCACATGGTTTTGTGTCAAATATGTGCATCCGGGTTCTCAGTAAACATATGACATCACTCGTTATTTATTTATTTATTCTTTATTTATTATTTCACCATAAAATTTATACAAATACTGAGCTTAATGCCGTACGGCAAATTTGTTGTTATGACTTAACTTTCCAAGTTTATAATCTGTGTTTTTATGTCTACAATTAATACAGAATTATTATCTGATTTTTAACCAACTTCAGAAAGAAGGTGGTACTTAATACGGTTTTTTGTTTGTTTATTACCTCGTAACTCTATCAGTTATAAACCGATCTGAAAAATTCTTTTTTAATTGTAATAAAAATACTTACAGTCTGATTCCATAAAAATGTCTTTAAAATCAGATCAGTAGTTTAATTTTGATATCAAAATATGTGATTATATCTTAGTTCTCAGGAATAGCAACGCATAAACAGTATCGTGGACGACACAGCATACTCTGTGACACCCATGGTACAGTTCATGTCTATAAGTGACTGTTACCACTTTCCATTAGGTGGACCGTCAGCTTGTTTGTTATTCTAAGTGTCATAAAAAATGTTGGGCTGTATTAGTTCTATTCTAGTCACATTACGTAATACCTGACTGTATTTTTGTATTTTATATGTTAGTGACATGACTTAAAAATATTTTGTATTTCGAATTTTAAATACAGACAAGACGGTATTTCGTAATTTGTATTAAGCCAAGTAGGTATGTATGAATGAATGAATGAGTATACTTTATTTGCATTATACAATATAGGAAATAAGCAAGACAATTTACAAACACAACGATACAATTGTATAGTACAGTATGGCGGTTTTATTGCCGAGAGCAATCTTTTCAAGACAACCTTAAGGTAATGGACTAATTGTTGTACAAGTAGGTATGATAGTACTGTATAATTAAAAATCATCTTTTGCAAATTAAAAATTATATATATATATATATATATATATATATATATATATAGAGAGAGAGAGAGAGAGAGAGAGACAGAGAGAGAGAGAGAGAGGGAGAGAGAGAGAGAGAGAAAAGATTAAAAATGTTTTTGCCCAGCCCTAGGTGTAAGCATGCTAAAACGAAAATTGAAGAAAAGAATACATACGAGTATATTCGTTCACTTGGTCTAACTCCATCCTTATAGTATCGCCCAGTAATTTTAAAATAAGAAGTCTTTTGTCTCTTAGTGATAATTTTTATATGACATCTCGTTACAATTTGTTGTCTTTATTTGATAAATAATGTAATTCAATATTTATATTCCAGATTCCAGATTTGGCCGATCTTGTAATTATAGGAACTATGACCATAATATATTCATTTACGTTATTAACTCTGTGTTTTCGGTGTGAATTATTCTTCAGAGAAATAAAACTTGTTAAAACTTTATCAATTACTCTAATGTCGATACATCAGCAAGGTATATATGTTTACTTAAATACAACAATTCTTTATTAGGTTCTTGTTCAAGCTTTTTATGACATCTTGAAATGAGAAATTTTATTTTTCTCATTTCAATATAGGGCTTTTTATACTCGTATTTATTTTAAAATGCGAGTACTCACATCCAGATAGAAATTACGGGTCACAGCATCGTTTCTGTTATAAACTTACAATCAAGGTTACCATAGAAGTCACAGTATTCTGTGACATTTATAATGCTCTTCATGTCTACAGGCGACACTAAATACTTTCCTAAATACTTACTATGTGACATGATACTCAACCGATACAGTAACTAAAGCATCAGACTGAAACCACATTGAATTTATTGTTTATCAATTTATCTAGGTATAATCGATGTTATTGTCATCAGGAACAATGAGAGAAAAGGCGAAGAGTATGTACAAGATACTAGAAGAGACTCCACCGAAGTTCTCCATTTATGACATGTGGCATATGGACGCAACTCTTTCTATCAAAATAACAAATATCGTAACTGGTGTATTTGTGACGTTACTGCAGTTTGCATATCTGTAACTTGAACCTGAGACATCTAATAAAATTAAATCGTACTAATAAAATTAAATTCGTATTTTATTCATGTTTTCTTTGTTTATATGATTTTTTTTATAACATGGGGCAAACGAACATGCAGCTCACCTGATAAATGACTATCGACACCTATGAGCACACCTGAGGAATTGCAATTTTTTTTTTTATTATTTACTTATTTTACAAAAAATAATAATTACAGTAAATATTAATGCGAAGACACACAATAGGCGGCCGTATAGCTAAGCAATCTTTTCCAGAAAACCTTTGAACAGAGCTCATTGAGAAAAAGACAAAGGGTATGTGACGCATTAATATATTGATACTAATGCATACAAACATACTTATATAAAACAAATATATACCTACATAAACATACACATATTTAATAGCACACATACAACAGGAAAGAATAATGGAGGAAAATGACGAGACAACACAGAAACATAGTACTAAAGAGAGAGGTAATAGAATTTAACAGAGGTCAATGAGCATTTTTCTTAAAATTTTCTATCGTATTTGTTCGGAAATACTGCTGCTAGGAATAGATCCACTACACTGGGTTAACAACAATAACGACGAAACAATTTTGATGTAGGTACTAATAAATATTTACGATTTGTGGATGTTACCTTGTAGAATGTACTATTATAACGCTACTTCAGTTAAAATAATCGTTTAAAGTCACAAGTATTTACTCTTTAAAATATCATCTTTAAAACGTTGTCTTTTAAATATTATCCAACTGAATGTTTACCCTAAAATTATGTATCTGAAAACAAATTAGTATGGGAGGATCAAAATTTATTATTCAAAAATGTGGGTTTACATTAGTTTTCACATATAATATTAAATTACTATGTAACACATTAAAATACTTTTTTTAACTTCTAATAAAATATATAACTTGTATTTTTAATATAATTTAGATAAATTTAATACACATAAATAAATTTTGCAATCTGCATCTACACATAGATGGACATTAAGGAGAGCATTCACCAAAAACTTTCATGTAACCACAACATTGATTAGATATAACATTGCAATGTGAGAATCTAAGGCGGGAGCATAATCAAGTGTCAAATATAACATTATTTGTTACAATGCTTAGGTATTTCTGCAATTAATTAGCGTAATTATTCATTGTATAATAATGTTATGATGTGAATATTTATAACAATTTATGTTATTTTTATCACCTACAATCAATTATTATAATAAAACTATCTTTTATGATGTACATAAAAGACTGTCTTTAATTTAATTATTTTCACCCACCACTTAACAAACAATAATAATGTATTGCCACCACAATTTCATTACTTATCTTCCAATATGAATAAAGTTTTGTACAACTCATTAAAATAAATAAAAGTCAATCAATTACGAAAGTCAATTCTTTGTAAGTCATCAACAAATATGTCAGTAGAATTATTTGTACCGATAAAGAAAATAACACTGTTATTGAATAAAAAAAAATATAAAGAATAATATTGTATACGATAAATAAGACAACACGAGAAAATTAAAAAACAAATTGTAGAAAGTTTAAATTAATTTAAATAATAAAAAAATATTAACGTCTAAGATGAAAACGGATAAAAACATGCATTCTAAGTCTATTGAGTATCTCTCGAAAGATATAATCGATGAGGACTTATTGAGATCTTTTGAACCCATCCGACGACTGCAATTTATAATGGGCTCTTGCCGTGTCGACGGCAGACATAGATTCGTAACTGCACCGACGTTATATCAAAGATTATATTCGATTTTACTATTAATTTTAGTATTATTAGTAAATTTCAAATTGATTTCAATAATATACAGCATTTTTCATAATTATCAAGCCCTAGTATTTACAAGTACTTCAATGTTATGTTTCCAAACTTCAGTACATTTTTTAACCATTGTAAATGTACGGTTCCTCAACAGCGAAAAACAGAGAGAACTATATATAAAAATGCAAGAACTTGATCACTTCATAAAAGACAATAATAATAAAGATTTATACAACTGTATATATAAATTAAACTTAACAACAGTCATAATAACTCTATCGGTATTTATAATATTTTTATTAACATGTTATAAAGGGCTTGTAGCAGCAATCAGTGTGTTTATAATGTTGTATATTGATGTAACAGTTTTATTTGAAACAAGTCACTATTCAAATTTGATGGTATATTTTGCTATGCATCTGCGTGTCATAAATCGTATATTAAAGAATTATTTGAAAGAAGAATTTAAAGAGGACATCATAGATCTCACAGTACCATTCAGTAGTGGTTACTATGTCAAAGTACTTTTCGAACAAATTGAAATGAAAAACTACGACCTAAAATCATTCGATGTTTACGCGTATTTGAAGAAATTGCTAAGTGTTTTCTCTCACTATCAGAAAATGTATATGTTTCAGGTAAGCTATAATGACAACAATTATGTACATTTCATTGTGTAGTCGTATATTTACCTTTTGTTTGTTTGTAACACTTTATGTGTTTTCTGTGTTCTATGTACAGTATAATGATCATAAAAGTAATATGAAAAATATCCATACGCACAAGTATGAAACCGATTTACCTAGTTGTTTAGAATCTTCACAAGACTGTCAAAAGATGGGGCCGAATATATGAGTAGGTTCTATTGTCTACATTCATGCATTCTTGACCTACAGTCAAGAATGCTTGACTGTTATTAATATTAGTTATTAAAACCCCTCTCTTCCATTAGGGAAATTGTAAATGTAACAAAAATTTAAAAAATTGTTAAAAGTCGAAATGTGATTAACAAGGAACATGAAAGTTAATACGAAGAAAATTACGTTCCAAACATGGGGATTTTTTGTAGATCTACAAAAAGACTACAGGGTAAAATTGAAATATAATATAATATTCATAAAATTAAGAATTCATCCATCCTATAATAGAAGCTCATCATCATAATATCAGCTGTTAACTGTCCACTGCTGAACATAGACCTTACCCATAAACTGCCATAAGAAACAGTCGCGAGCCACCTGTATCCACTGACTTTAGCATTTGAGGTCGTCGCTCATTCTAGTAAGGGGTATCCTACACTGCGTTTGTCTGTACGGGACTCAAGAACCTTTCTTCCCCATCTGTTGTCAGTTCCTCAAACTATGTGACCAGCCCATTGCCACTTCAGCTTGCTACATAGAATATACGTATTAGGACCGAAATTACGGTAACAAAATATTTAAAATGAAAAAAATATTAAGTCTCCAACACTACTTCAATAGCTAAATGCGCCGTGTATAGAGGACTCAAAATTTTTTGTCGTTTCGCAAACCACGTTTCTTTGGGAAATATGTCCATTTTCGGTGGTAAAACATTCCCTTCAAAGGATGCTAACGATATCGACTTCACTTTGTATAGTTAGAAGTTCTTAACTTTTCTGTCAAATTCTATAAAAAGTGGTGCACCTTTTGTACACTAAAACACCTATTTATATTTACAAATAAATAAAATATATTTATATTTCAGATGTTTCTTTTTTGTGTCAAATTTGTTGTATGCGGTGTGTCATCATTTCAATTTATACTTCTACTTGTACAAAACAACGTAAGTGTTTTTATACAACGTAAGTGTTTCCATATATGATGTGTTCTGAATGTTAAATAAAAATTTCTATTGTTATTTTGTATATAAAAACTAGCTGACCCCGCAAACTTTGTTCTGCCATATAATATTTTTTTTCTGGATAGAGACACTTTAATCACCTAACGCGATGAAATATACTTTATACCCTATTCTCATACCTACCAAATATAAATAAAAAAATTAATAAAAAATGGACCGTTTCGGAGAAGTTCGACCACAAACGTCATACACGAGATTTTTATACATAAAATACTGATTTTATAGAAAAACCTTTTTCCATAGTAGTTTATTGTTTTCAAATATTACTAATACGGTTAAATAAATATGGAATAACAGTTTTGCACTAGTCTTTCATCTGTCGTTATTTGTGCTAGTGAAAGCCAAAAGTGCAGACGCAACTGAAACAGAATGACTATTGTGGTTTCTTTAATTATACAGAAACCCAGTTCTTGATGTAAAATAACCAGTTATTACAGCAAATTGATGATATAAATTGTATTATTTATGTATATTTAGTATTTTTAAAAGATATTGCTTTACCTAACAGTAAAATTAAACATCGTTCTTAAAAAAAATTCAAGCAATGACAATATATTTGAGACTCCGATACAAATCGAAAACGGTGTGTTCAATAATGAAATTAGTATACAAGTATGGGGAACTTTATAACGATAGTAGTAGAGTTAATAAACTATATTTGGAAAAAACGTTTAGCTTGATTAAGTTCTCTTAAGATTTTACTATTATTTCGATTTTATTTTGACAGAATATATAGATACTTAAAGCCAATATAACATCTGTGCTTAAACTTGAAAGAGGCAATTTTTTTTAATATATATGTTTATTTGTTTGTTTGTTCGTTCGTTAGTTAGATTGTTTATTATTATTATTTTATTAATAACTTTTACCCGCTACTTCGTCAACTTGACCGAGATACTCGTATATTCACTGACCGGCATAAAAAATAACCAATGTCCTTCTGCTTTCAATATAGTTTTGTGTAAACCAAAATTCATAGGGATTGGTTAAACCGTTAAAGCGTCTAATAAAGCAAATAAACTAACTCACTTTCAAATTTATAATATACTAACGGCCCGTCCCGGCTTCGCACAGGATATTTTTACAACATTTTAAAAAGTGATTTGTAGTTATTGATATTTTCTTCAATATTGTAGAACATACTTTTATTCTATCACCAATAGTTTCCGCAGCGCACGCGACGAAAGTTATTTTATAGCATTTTTTTACACCTTTAGTTACGTTACTAACGTTTTAGTAAGGATCCCTAATATTTTCTAGCAATAAATATAGCCTATGTTACTCAGGGGGAATGTAGCTTTCTAATGGTGAAAGAATTTTTGAAATCTGCAAAGTAGTTTTTGAGTTTATTCATTACAAACGTACATACACACAAAAATACAAATCTTTCCTCTTTATAATATTAGTGTAGAAATAAGAATTAATAATATTCTTTTAAGTGTACATCCTGATGACTTACAGTTGTAAGGTTAAGTGTATTCTTAATACTTTACTTACTAATAAAGTTTAACTGCATCTACGTAATTTTCAGGCCATGGAAATTCTATTACTAATTCATCTATTATCTGCAGCAACTATACATACATCTACAATATTAGTACTATGTCTTCGGTGCGAACTATTTCTCAACGAGTTAAAATTATCTAAACAACTGTCAATTTCTGTAATGTCGTATCATATGTACGGTAGGTATAATAAGAAAATTTTTAAACTACTGGGTTACGCAAATAAGGAGCCTTTTGTTAATAATTGCCTAATCTAAAAGAAAATCGTGGGCGTAAATTTTACTCAGGTCATAATGAAACATTCATGCTGCAACGCACACATTTTGTGCAAGTACCTAGTTCAGACCTAGAAAAACATTTTCATATGGAGCAAAAAATTCCAGTTGTGTTAAAAACTAACACGGACTCGTATGCATTATGTGATGTAGAAGTAACCAATCATTAATAAAAGCACTAACAAAAAATATGTACCTATTATTTACGTAGACGCTTGGAAACACTTATTCTATATTTAGACAATTAATTATATCTGTCTAGTAATGTATACTATTTATTATATACACTATTTATTATTGATATTTTTTAGGACCAATAAGAGAAAAGGCGAAAAAGATATACAAAATATTGGATGAAACTCCACCTACGTTCATGGTTTACGACATGTGGGAAATGAATGCGCGCCTTTTGATCCAGTTTGGCAAAATTCTAACCGGACTATATGTGACTTTGCTGCAATTTGCTTTTCTTTAAGCTTAAATTACAACATTATATACTTAATTATTAAAAACATCTTATATAATAAACGAAATAAATATCAGTCTAATAAAGCTCCGAATTTATATAAATATACGAAGCAGTATATATATATTTTTTTCTTATTGCTGTATGTTCAATTCAATCATTAGTAAATGACATATTTATTCACAGTAACTATTAAATCTCTTTCATCTACATATCTTTCCAAGCATGACAGTCATCAAAATCACATTATAAGTTATATTGTTAAATAAGTATCTAAATTGCTTCATAAGCAAGTAAATAAACAGTAGCATGAGATATAGATATATTTGATAGATAAATACCACACCATCAAAATCATCAACATCAACATCATCGGACCTTCACCTTAAAGATCTGTTTTTACTATATTAACTATTAGATTGTTCTGATACTGTGTTAACTGTGCTAAGAACGTCATAGATGTTTTTGTTTTCATTTATCATTCAATTTTCGTAAGTAAATACATTACGAACGTATGCCTTAGAATACATGTACATCAATCGATTGAATGTCAATTATTTTTAAGACGCCACTGAAAGTGCTAGATATGAGTTGTAGGTAGGTACCAATTACATTAAAACAACTTATAAAAATAATCTAAGTACAAAAGTAAAATTATGCAAGAATTACATGAAAGGAATATATTGAATACCTACAAATTTATCACCAAAGATGAAAAATCAGAAACTCAACTCTGACTCAATTGAATATGTTACAAAAGACATAATAGATGAGGATATATTAAGATAATTTGAGCCCATATATTGTTTTCAATTTATACTGGGCTCTTGCCACGTCGACAAATTCATAACTTTATCGACTTTATATTAAAGATATATAATCGATTTTACTAGTGATATTTGTATTAGTAATCATTTCATATTCATAGAATCGTATTACGTTAAATTTCATGAGTATCTAATACAAAACAATACAAGTATTTATTTGTAATGTGTATTCGTTAGTAATAAAAAATATAATCTGAAGACATCATATCGTGCCATCTAGTTCCAAATAAAATGATACTATAATTACTTTCGGTACTTTAGGTACCTACATACTAGCCGACTTCCAAAATTAAGAGGCTTATCTATTATTTTTTGTAGTTTATATTTATATACATAATCGGCGAACTTTACAGTTCCCCAATGTGCTTGCCTACATTATTAGGTATTTACGTCGCCATTTCTAAACGAAATTATTCTCCATTCGCAATAATTTTATAGATACTCATATTTTTTTAGATCATAGATATCTTGATATATATGGATCTACTATTCTACATTAATATAATAGACGAGTATACTATTACTAATCTATTATAATATTTTATGTCTTCGATGTGCACTATTTTTAACCAAGCTAAAACTAACTAAACAGCTATCAATTCCAGTAATGTCTAATTATGTTGAAGGTAAATAGATAACTAAGTCACAGAATACTAAATATATTAGGCATAAGTGTTCTGTGCCCAAGTACCTACTGTTATAGTCAACCACTTTTAAACAACAGAACAAATCTGAATCAAATTGTACTTTCTAGTAATGCATATACTAGGTTAAAATATCGGATACTTTTTATACTAATCACCGCGATTAAACCACGGAATCGTCATCATCTTCCTACCCTTATCCCAATTATTATTTGGGGTCGGCGTAATATGATTTTATCCATATTACTAAAGAATTTGGCTTATAGTTTTACGACAGGCCGCCTGTCTGGCGTCAACCCTCTTTGGGAATAATATGGATAAAACCACGGAATCGTTAATTTAAATAATAACATAGACAATCTTACTACTGTTATAATTGCAAATTTTAGGATGAATGGATGTTTGTTACTCTTTCACATATAGCCGTATTTAAAAGGGGGTTCGAGTGAACCATGCCCACCTCAAATATGTTTGGTGCCCACACCAGATTGCGAAACTTTTAACTATGCATACCTTTTAATCACATTTGGCAAGATCCCAACAGGAATGTATGCTATATTACTACAATTTGCAGTTCTGTAATATAACTGTTAAATATAAATTTAAGTACTTAACGATTTATATGGAATACATCATTAGATAGTATAGTCACTATCTCCGCTATTGAAAATACGCGTTGAAGTACATTTAGGAATTATATAGTTAAGTATGAGGAACGAAGGGATTTTTAATAATGGAGATTAGCAACCCTAAATTACTAGCAATATACCCGATCAAGTCGATCTCCACGCGGCCCCCTTTGGAAACCATCGTGGTTAAATTTTTATGAAATTGTCATGAGCCAACTAATGGGACTATTGCCCCATCGTAGAGTAATCCTTTAACTAAATATGGTGAAATAGAAATTATTGGATAAAATAAATGATTCGGTATAAATTAAGACAGTTTGTCAGATACCATAATTACCTACGTATGTGTATGTACTTGTGTACCAATATAGTTTTTTTAATATATAATAAATGATTAAAAGTACTACCTTTATTGAGTACATTTACCAAATTCTCTATACTACATTATTATAAACCCCAATTTTTTACATTAAAAAATGTGAAACTAGTCACATACTGAAATATATATATATATAATATATATATATATATATATATATATATATATATATATATATATATATATATATATATATATATATATATATATATATATATATATATATATATATATATATATATATATATATATATATATATATATATATAACTAAACGCGTAGGCACATTCACGACAATAGTTAGACACCGTATTTATTCACCGTATTAAGTCATATAACCACTACTGAATATAGCCTCCAGGGGGTTTTGCCAGTAATTGCCACGCTTGGCAGGCGGGTTGGCAACCGAAGTTCAGCTGTTAGTAATGTTTGAAGAGGGACGCTGCTATCATACATACATACATGCACACATAGCACATATTGTATATAAAATATTGCATGTTGTAAGAAACTTTTGATTTCACGAAATTAATGCATGCGTTACAAATTTAAAGATACATAATTGAAATGTGATGCAGGTGACAAAACAATATCGTGAAATTAGTTTCCAGTCACTATATATCATATTTTGTATACATTGTGAATGTACACAATGTATACAAAATATCTCAAATGAAACTTAAAACAACCTTATACTGAATACTAATATATGTTCTATACCACATTTGAAATAATAAATCACTCTTATACAATAATCACTTTATTAATAAAAACATATCTATTCAACTATAGAAAATGGACGGAGTAATTACAGGAATCATTATAATAATATAAGCTTAATAAAACAGCATTACCATGTATATATAGAAATAAGTATTTAAATATATACCTTATTTTCATATGCAACTTAAATATAATACAAAAGTTACCTCTGCTATAAGATCTGGTTTTTTTTATACTAAACATATATTTTCTAAATGATCTTGCCATAACTTTTTAAAAGTCATACTAAGTTTACTTAATATTTTTTGGTAGTATAAAAATAAGGCCCCCAAAAAAAATATTATATAATAGTACTTAGTTAAACAAATAAAAAAAAATGATATTCTTTTAGCTACTTTTTATGCACTATTAATTTTTTATACCATAAAACTCAAAATTGTCTATAAATATGCCTTTCATAAGAAAAATTATTCAATTATACTAACTTTTGCATTAAGTTTTACACCCTTTTCTTTACATAAAAAATTAAAATGCAGAACCACTGACTGACATTATAAATGCACAGCCGTAGTTACTAAAACTAAAAGAGTGATGCACTGGGGTTCTTTTAAACTCAGGTAACAATTGGTTAAAAAAATTTAAATGTTCCCATTGAAATGGGAGAGAATGAACTTCATGTGGTAAAATAACTTAGAATCATACCTATAAAAAACTGATTGAAAACATAGTTATATTTAATCATAAAACCAAAAAAGATGTGTTTGAATATTTGTACTGTAATGGCAATAGCAATTATGTGGGTAAAGGTTTTTCAATGTATTATAATTCATCATATATTTAAAAGTATTTTACAGTTGACTACAAAACTTAGTTTTCTTAATGTATAAAATATAATATATTTATACAACTGGAGATATTGATTTCTTAAAAGTACTTATTTGGTGAAACATTCATATTGTCATGTGTTAAAATTTATTTGATATGTAAGAGAATATCAAAATACCAATAGATTTGTGAACAATACAATACTAGAAATCATTAGTAACGCCATTGATGTGGAAACATTTGCCGCACCATTACATCGATGGTCAAGGAAACAGAAACACCATATTGTCTCATCATACCAGTCTCTGGAAAAAAAAATATACATTGCTAAAAATTAAATAAAAAAAACCTATCCGAAACAGACTATTGTCAATATCACAATATTATGAACTATCAGCCACACAATGAGAATGTAGCTTCCTCTAATACTGGTTGTGACCACAAGGTTATTCACTAGTCATATACAATAACTTTTATTTACATTGAAACTTATGGAACAATGAAAAATCTATTTCCGATTTGAATCTAGTATTAGCAATGTTTGTATAGGCATTGAATTATGAATGACCAAGACTAGCATTACATTATTACATAGTAGTTTTGACAATTCTTGCAATATATACTTATAAGTTTTTTAGTTGTTGATGTCAATAACATGACATCATTATGTACTAATTATATAAATAATTAACAAGTGCATAACACTTTGCTGGAAAACTATGAAAATTGACATTATTTTCATAGTAACATAAAAAATCCCATACAACAAACATTATCAATAAAATTTTAGGAAGAAACTCCTATGCAATGGAAATTTTTTTGATATACATATAAATATAAAACATACTTCACTAGAAAACAGAAAGTACTGTTTTACTGTTGTGATTACAAACTTTAGCCATTTTATTTTAGTTATAACAACCTTTTTACTTATTAAACAAACAATATCAAACACTCATATGTAAAATATCTAAATTTTGATTCTTGAAATGAAAATATATATGTAATATAAAAGTTTTCTTTACCTCTTTATGTCCAGTTCTTTAATAGAGTTATTAACATAATTTGCCAGATTGACATCTTTTGCTGCAGGTCTGCACCCCTCATATGTATCAGCTGGAATGTCTGTCCGGAATGCCCGAAAGTTGCTCAAACAATCCCTTGTGATTACTGTTTGTGCTAAAATACCAAGAAACAGAAACATGTAAATTATAAATAAGCATTAGAAGTATTTTATAGATAAGTATAATAAGACAATTGTTGTTGGCAGACCTACAGAGTTATTGTGTTAGGAATGACAGGAATCATCCAATTACCTGATAATAATTACACTATAAATTAATGTCATATTGACATTTAACTACCTACAGCTTCTAAATAATACAAAGTATTACAGTAGACAGAATACATTCTAAATTTATTCCAAACACAATGAGACTAAAAAGTATGGTACCTGATTTTAAAATAAATTCCCAACATATTGAAATGAAAATTAATCCTCTATGTCTTAGAAAAGTAAATAAGTAAGTTTGATAAAGCTTATGCAATTGTTTCATATCAGTTAAGAAGTATTAATTAAATGGTGATAAATCACATTTCTCTTAATATAAATATTAATAGATTATTTTCATTTTACATTATGATAATGAATAACTATTTTTTTATTATTAATTCTGTTACAAATACATTCCTAAAATATATTTTGAATTAATAAGTACCAATATCAACTTTATCATCAGCAAAATATCATACAGTTTGGTGATTTATATATTATTTATGTAGAAAAATGTTAAAAAAAATTGCAAACCTCCTTTCCTCTCAATTAATTTGATACAATAATCGTCATTATCTGGACATGGATTTCCTAAGTAACCTACTCCCCTCCAATTGAATGGCTCTGTGCACCCAGGAGTGGCTGATGAACACTGATAACACCATATTGCTAAACCTGAAATAATACCAAAAAAATATTTAAATATTTTTTAACTATCATGTTCACCATAATAGGTTGTTGACATTACTACTACTATTTGATATTCTATGCTTATTTTTGACCCCGTATGGGCAAGAGGGTTATAATACCTGGCGTGTAATAAAAGTTGAAATGAAATATGAATATTAAAACGTCAAATTGTATGTTTATTATGAATACTCCCAAATTAGAATATTTATACTTCTAAATCTGGAAAACTATATAAAACAACAATTCGATTGATGATAGCATTACCACACCCCATTGTTATGCTCAATGCATTTTACAAAATAATTATAAAATCTTACACGAATTAAATGTAGCTATCAATAGTAATGCTACAATATTCTTCATATTTTTCAGTTCCTCATAAATCACAAAACAAAGTATTCTTAAAGATTATTAATGTATGCGGCAAAAACAGTTTGATGGTCTGGTTTAATGAGTTTTGAAAATGTTTTGAATTTGTTTGATTGGGCTTGGTTAGTGACATTGACGTTTGACATATTATTTGACGTTGACATTTTATACTTATTTTGAAGCTAAAAACAAGGAAATATTTGTTTTGAATGAAATAAGTGTTCTATAGGGTCAAGTGAACTCATACATCAATTTTTTTATTAAAAATTCCTTTTCCTACGTCCATAAATCCTTCCCGTTCCTTTTTAATATCTCCTCACATTTCCTATTTTTTTTTTATGACATAATGGCATCTTGCATAAATTAAAAAAGCAGATATTTGAACTATGAACAGGGAATTACATAGAAGAAATGATAAAATAAAATCTGTAAATCATATGGTTCCCTTTCTTCTTATACAAATATAATTAGTAAAAAGAGGACGAAAGATACAAAAAATATTTGATATGTCAATTATTTGTTCAATAACAAATTTTACATTACTAGATTATATAATCGATACAGTTTACATAGAAAGTGTGTAAGCAGATTGAATGAATTTGGTAGGGATATACGGCCGTATAACATTTTTATACACTAGCCTGCTATAAATTGACAATTTTATCACTCTATGTAATTCTTTGTTCATAGTATTTAATGTTTTGTCGACTATTGTCGTAGGAGAAAAACTTGTTGAACGTGGGCAGGCTAGTGTCAGCCTGTTCACGCTTAATTTATTATAATTATTATGATACTTTAACAATATTATCGGATCCTTTATAATAATATATTTTGATTCACATTAACTTAAATTGTTTAACGATAAGGTCGCCTTTTCTATCACTTTTCATTAATATTTATATAATAATTTTACTTGGTGCAATAAAGTGTAAACAAATAAATACGACAAAACTTTCAAAAAACTATTTAACTATATATGTACAACAGGATAAGAAGATAAAAAGTATCTACTAATATTTAATATTTATCCAAAACTTAATAACAGTGCAGTATTAAATTTTCTCCATACTTGCTGATTTCTTCCCGATTCACATGTTTGCAGGTCGATGACTCAAAAGTTAAAGACCCGATTTGGTTCAAACGTGGTATATATACTCTTAATGAGGTGCTTAACAAGTGACTACCTAGACAAATAAACCAACCCCCGCCAAACCCTCCATTCCGCGAATTTTTTGACCTCATCTCGTAGTTATATCATTATTAAATTCAGTAATAATATAAATATGAAAATTTATAAGGATGTTCCAATGTTTAGATGTCTAGATGTATATTGCTCTATGACACTTTAACAGGTGAATAGATTTGAATAACATTTAATACACGGGTAGCATTTTTATAGTATATGTACTGCAAAATATATAATGTAAGTACATTTAAGAACAATCAAAAATCTTTGAAGTACACATATATTATACTTTAACAAAATAAATTCTCTATAATAAGCTTCTATATTATTATTGATTATATATGCACCTTTTTTTAAGGGGCATGCCAAATAATCTTAAATACGTTGGACTAAATATATTTTTGAAAAGAATTACATTTTCGAATTAACCAGATAGAAGCTTTAAACAAAAGTCATCTACATGCCTGAATACCCTATCCTACTCGTATTCATATTTCTACTAACAAATCGTTGTACTTGTATAACTTTTTTAGCTTAAAGAGTGAAAACGAGAATAAAATTACAGGTAATGGATATTTACCTATTACCTAAGATCGGTCAATTCACTCCTATAGAACCTTCAAAGCTCACGCTTTATTAACTATATATGTGATATTACACACCTTAATCTTTAGGAATGACGAGGGAATGATAACCCATAATGAAATCCATGGACGCCATTATGTATTAAGTAAATGCCCCTGGCTGTTTATGTTTAAAAGAGACAATTATTTTTGGTTTCTAACCGATGAGCATGACTCCTTGTATATTATCATGCATTGCATAAAAAAAATTATGAACTAAATGTTTTCTTTTCCATTTTTATTTAATTGATATAATTTAACAGGTTTGTGTCGAGTTAGTTACAACTAATAGTGGGTGAGTATCTTTTATTTGGTCATATACAATTAAAATACAATAAATTGTCTTTCTAAAATTATATATTTTCTTCAGGTGGTTCATCGGTTGTATTTGGATTTATCGACGCCATCAACATCATCAAATCTTCTTTATTCAAATCTATACACATGGTGCCAACTACATCATCAATACCAATTGTACCATCATTACTCATATCAACTTCTTTTATAAGATTATCCAGCTGCTTTTGAGGCATATTATAACCTTGTTTTGCTAAAACTTCTTTGAAATATTCTCTATCAATGCTTCCAGTTCCATCGGGATCAAAAACTTGTAATGCAGATCGTAGCTCCTCTTCAATAGGAAAATCTCTTTGTCGTATAGTTACCACTTTGAGAAATTGCTGAAATGTAATATGGCCCTGCGGATGTGGTGGTCTTACGCAAAAATCTATAAGTTCTTGAAGCTGTTCTTGTGTAACTGTCATAAGAAGGATAGACTTTAACATGTAAACGAGTTCTTTTTCAGTTATATAATTATCAATATCGGTGTAAGCTGGTGTATAATTTTGATATAGATCCCACAATTGCTCTACCTCAGCCAATTGGTCAGGTCTTAATTCAAAAGGTTCTCTCAATGCTTCTTTAGAATTACTAAAATTATAAGGCGCTGTTGGATCTGGTGGTGGCTCCTCGGCGTAACGTTCTTCTTCGACTACCTTTTCTTCCGACGGCTTTTCTTCTTCCTTTTCTTGATCTTCTCCTCCTTCCCCTTCAACATGCTCACCTTCAAGTTCTTTGCCTATCAATTCGTTTCTCTGTTCTAATATTGCATTTTTTTCTATGTCTAAATGTTCTCTCTCTACTTGATTTCCTTCTATATGCTCTCCTTCAACAACATGTTCACTAAGTACTTCCTCTAAACCTTCTCCAATATTTTCTTCGTCAGCACCACCGTCTCCAGCTTTCTCTTGATTTTCACTTTCTGCTAATTTTGAACCGTCTGTAATGTTTCCTAAGCATGGAGTCTCCATGTTCTCAGTAGGTGGAGCTTGCTCCTCCATATTTGCTATTATTACTTAACGAGAATTTTGTATACCTACGATTTTAATAAAATATGATACCTAATCTATATCATACTAAACAATTATCACCACATCTATGTTTGTAGAACTGTGATCTTAGTATTGATATTAAATTATAAGTAATTCTGTCATATAAATTAAGACTCCCAACTGATACGAATTCTAAAATTTCTATAAATTCATACAACAACTCATTGCGTACATTTTCTATAAAATCCAACATTAATGTAAAATATTTAAATTGTTAATATAATGACAGAAAAATCACACTGATCTTGTCATTATTTAAAAAAATGTCATCCGGGATACTGAATAATTAAAACGCAAAATAAAAAGGTAAAACCTTTTACTTTTTTACTTTTTTGTGCCTAAACTTAAATTAAAAAAGAAGTACCTATATAAAGTTTTAAGTTTTTGTATTATTTATATATAACGGCGTAAGTTTGGTAAATCTTTATTAGGTATGTGTATATATGTATTACAATAATTCGTTGTCATGCTTGGAACTTGGCACTGAATTTATCTCTCACGACTGAAATAAAACGTAATAAGTATCTATAGTGTGTTCTCGGTTCAGTCGTGAGAGAAATAACAATCAACGAACAAATAGAACAACAGTGCTTATGTTCTAAATACATATTTTAGAATCATACATTTTTTAAGTATCTCTGCCTAGCAATAAGTAGGTAGGTAGGCACTTTACTAGTGAAGTAATATCACTGTACCTACTAAATATATTTTTGAACTATTTTATTGACAAACGTGATGGTGTACCGATTTAACTCATCACCTCATCTTCTGATGGTTGTATGTTCGATTCTCGTACAATAAGTACGTTTGTGTTTTTAAGTGTTTGTTTATATTTGTTTGGGTACTTAGTACGTTTGAATAAAAATATATATTCAAAAATGTATGTCATTCGTAAATACTGCCTTGACTAGATGTAGTATCATATTATACGTATATGTTCAATCATATTATTTATTGTTATTACTATGAGGGCATGCCGAGTGTCACGTTCAGCGTAACTATAACAGTAGACAATTGCTTCTTACTATACCATTTGGGTTTATAGTCATGAGCATATCGTGAGGTTTTTATTATTATATTATGTGTCCGAAAATTATGTCTAAGTGTTTGTGTTTACATTCATCCAGTTTAAATTTCTATGTAGATATATTTTTTAAAAATAGTGTTGCCTTTATTGCTATTTCGAGGAAATTAGAGAGTTAACTTTATATACAGCAGGGTAAAAAAAAATAATAAACTTATTTAGCTTAATATTTTAAGAGCGCCCTAGAATGAAATTTATAGAAACCTTGTAAAATTTAATAATTGGGCAGATATATGTAAATATATCTACCCAATTATCAAAATGTATATCTATTAAAGTCTAAAATAATTATTTCTAAAATTACCCTTCCTTTAAGTAATAAAAAAAAATATAGTAACTACGCGATTTCATATTATTATTTCAAAATATTTTCCCTAATTGGTTGAAAAATTATTTCAAATTTACCAACTGAGAGTATTCACTCAACCCATAAGTATATCTATACAATTACTATTATGAATATCAATCTTAATATTTAATCCTTTGCTTGATATACATACTTCTCAAATATAATAATTAAATAACTTTGATTATAGTAGATAGGTAAGTATGTAGATAGGTAAATATGTAGGTAAGTATATAGAAAATAATGATTATAATGAGCAAGTGTGTTACATTCTTTTCATAGGTATAACTTTTAGATAATATAGCATAAGATGCATCATGTATCAAAATTTAAAATATTTTCAAGGACTCTCCCTGTAGAAGGTAGTTACTGTATGATTTCTGAATAACGGTATGAAATGATATGTACACCAGGTTGCCGTCAAGAATATAAAAAGGTCTGTGAACTCAATTCCGCGTAACCAAACAACAAATTACATTCCCTTAGTGAGAGACTTGGAACGTCTTTAACTGTTACGTTGCATACAATGTACCTAATTACTAAACACCTGGATAGATGAAAATCTAGAATAATTAGAAACTCAACAGACAATGTAAATGGTTAGACCATTCAAATAAATATTCAGTGTACAATTTATACTGAACATTATTACTTTCAACAAATACTTACATAAAGCCATAATGCTGGACAACAAATTAAAAGCATCAGGAAATCTCAATATATTTTACATACCAATCACCCAGTCTTCTAAATAGAATCCTCGATGTTATAAAAAATTAGGCAACGAGCATTTAGGAGCATAACCCAATAACACCCAGATTCGAGTTTCCTAAAGTATAAATCGAACCTCTACACCACGGAAGTTATCAAAACACAACAGTGATGATATAAAAAACAACGCGTTTATAGTTTAATAGAAAATAACCCTTTTTCCCTATCGGTCTCTGCTAAATAGCTACTGCAATTATTACGATTCAAATGCGTAAAAGGTCACCCTTGCAATGTGCATAGGTCTAGTTAAACCGGCAATAGTCGTAGAATAACTAGTGCAAAAGTTCCAATAACGTCCCACGGCCAGTGCTTTCATAAGGCACATCACGTGCGTATAATCTCGAGGGAGAAAGAATCAGGCAAGTTGGTGAGCGGCTGAGCCGCACGACTGGATGTTGAATTCTTAACAACAGACAGATTACAAACCGCTCGGCATCATCGCGCATGCGTGCGAATTGCGACCACTTTTGGCGGGAAATTATACGAACGCGCATTTTTTTTTTTTTTTGCTATTCGACCAAATAGTATTGAAAAACAAATTAAGTACCACTTTAGAGGTAACTTATATTCCCAATAGTGTTTTAAGTGATGATATAAATATCGGAACAGAATAGTTTGCTTCCAATACAATGGTGAGTAAATATTAATAGTTACTTAAATAAATAATGTCTATAATTAAGTACCTGATACATAATGAGACTTCTTTTTAATTACTATTATGTTTGTATCGTTGGTAATATCTCCCATAGCATTTCCTAAGAGTTATAAATTAAACAAATACTTCAACTAATTAATTATTAATTAAAATAATAGTGTAGTAATTGATTTATAGGAAAATAATTTGATAAGTAATTACTTATGTAAAGAAGATAAATACAATATGCCTATGTACACACGTATATATTATATAACTATTTATCTTCGTAAGCACATAGTAATAATAATAGTATTGTAGTAATTTAAACATAATCACTATTTTCTATATTTCTATAAAAAAATACAGGACGTATTATTTGAGTAGTTATTTTTTTTTTTTTGGACGAGTAAAACTACTATAATTTACATATACGTAAGTAGATGTTTCTAGAACAAGACCTTAAACATGTATTGTCAATAGTATTATGTTATCTGTAGTTCTAGTAATATGTATAATAAATCATTTACTAGTATTTAATCTGACTTATGTACAATAAAGATTTTTACAATACAATGCTTTATTCATTTTAAATGATATGAATATAGTTGAAATAGATCGACTCAAATAATTTCAAATTTATCTGTCTCATCTACTTACTAAAACGCTTAGATAATCTATTCTTTTTTTATGCTTAGATAAGTACATTATAATTGATTCATGCTTCAATTATTTATCTAATTTCAAAAGAAACCTGTTTTACATAAGTAATTTCATATATTTATAAATTGGATGAAGATGGAAAGACAAACATTATATTTTTAAATATTAAATCTCTCCTGGTATTTCATAAACAATAAATCTGCCTAATTCTGATTATAGGATAATAAACTCATAAAGTAATAAACCGCTCATAGGTACATACTTAATTGCCTGGTCACCATTGCAATAGTAGGTCTTACTGGCTAATTAGCTTGTACCTGCGACTTTGTCCGCGTGACTAAAATATGTTCTCTGACCCATATCGTGCGTATATATCAAGTTTCATATTAATTCATTAAACCGTTAAAGAACTAAGATGTAACGGACAAATAAAATCACTTTCATATTTATAATATTAGTAAGGATATCCTCCTTTTATCAAAGAAAGACTTGTTCTCGTATCTTTAACAAACAAATAATACATACCTAAGTACAATATAACTTAGCTTCTTTAAAAGCTTTATGGTCTAGACATCTAGACTAGCTAAATAATTTGTCAGCCACATTAGTACTTGTAGAGCGTAGTCCGAGGCTAGTGCTTTAGTTATTATTCTGAATGTAGCCTCACCTTAACCTTGTACCTAATATTTTTTTTTTTTCTATCTAAGTACGTTTTATTACCTTCTTGCCCTCATTTCACATACATTAAATTACTTACTTGCCATTATTAAATTCTACTAAAAAAGGAAGTTAATAAATCTTTCAGAAACCTATTGATACAGTTATCTATATCTGTCATAGATATGTAATAAATATATAATAAACTTGCGCAGTCTACACTTCTATACGTATTTAAAATAGCTATTAGATACTTTTTTTGTAGTATAAAAATTTACTTAACCTATTTAACAGTAATTTAAAAAATATATAATAATACGTTTTTTATCCATGCCGCTATCTATATCTATATATTAAATCTGAAGCACGTTAGAGAAGTTTTATTGCACATGCTGTGAGAACTTAATGATAGTATTAATTATAGTTGCTAGTCTGAATAAGTGTACAATATAATAACACATTTGAACGTAATAATAATGATTAGAAATATTTATAGTTTTTGGTCACTTGTATAAAAAAGTGGATCATTTTTCAATTATTTTCAAAAAATCGCAAAGATTTTAAAATTTCTAAAGAATAAGATGTGTGTGTGTGTCGTTATTGTAATTTGGCTAAAAGCCCCACAATAACATCAATTACCCATTGCCTGAGAAATCAGACATTGAACATTTAAATACGTTACCAAGAACACCCACACCTGAAGCAATTTAAGAAAATTAATTTCCTAAATCGTCCCGATCTAAAACCAACTTGTTTACGCAATGCATCTTGTCTATTCTATTTTAGTACGAAGATGTTTATATATATATATATATATATATATATATATATATATATATATATATATATATATATATATATATATATATATATATATATACATATACATATATATATATATATACATATATCTATATTATGTCAATTCAATCACTATGTCAAAGTAAAACCTAATTTCCTCCACGCGCTGCTGCAATAGTAAATGTCAACATAAACTTCGAGTAAATATCTAAAAGTAACGTGTACATACAAACAAATATATGTCATCAGTCTACCCTTCACCAAACAGTGTTCACGTTTGGTGAAATAGCACTGTGTATGTATACTTACTGCTAATTGGACCTCAAATACGACTAATAATCGAATGGATAAACAAACGTCAAAAACTACATCGATGTGCCATTAGTCGATTGTAGAGTTGCCACGCGTGACTTATTTCAGAATTAATTGTGAACGTGATAAAAAAACCGGCTAAGTACAAATCACTTCATTCGGTAAAGCTATTTACTGTTTTGTGTTTATTTGTCCATATGTAACTTCATCTATATACGATACCTGTCTTCAATATCATTGACCAAAAATAGATGAGACCATATTGCCCAATTAACAGTTGTATTTCATAATTGAGCAATAGTATCATTACTTTTACAACCTAATAACATCCCACTTTTAGTCACGAGTCTCTCCCCATAAGATGTTGACATAGCCTACTATTACCACGCAAGTTAGGCGACTTAGCATGGGGTTTTATTATGAGTTTTCCTTCTCATGTACTTTATTTTCCCATAGTCACATTATATTTTATTTCGTCACTACACGAAACGATCTGAATATTCATACTTCGTCATGATACGAGAAAAAAGTTTAGTTATACTTACAAAAAGAATCTTTCAAAATAAAACATTCTATTTCAAAATTTATTCATATTTAATAATTTAATTAATTTACAAAATATGAATTAAATCTATATTTTGATATATTCGATAAATTATAAAGAGATATTATATCGCCAAACTTATTTTTTTCCGAAATACTTATAATCCATTTCGCGTTCTATTGCTCTAGGTAAAAAAAAGCTCACATTTGTGTCTATTTATTTAAATATTTGTTTAAAACCGATAGCTAAGGTAGGTGTTGCAAAATAGTTTAATGAGTGAATTACCAATTAAATGATAAAAGTCTAAAATGAAAAACAAATATTTTATGAGATTTTATACTGACAAAATCTGCTGCTCATAAGCCTATGAACTGTACGACCTATTGATAAATGTGACACTGGATATAATGAGTGTAAATATTAAAATTATAATATTATTGCTAAAAATATATCTATTTATATATGTTTAATCGCTTAATAAATAAACAAATAATAACTCAACTTACAGAGATTTTGTAATAATAGATAATGAAGTCTATGCCCCTGTATAATTCTAATAGACTGCCTTGAGACTGGCATGCATAGAATTAAAAACAAGGGTCTGCTAGTATATCTGACTGTATCATCCTTTTAATCTGTTCAAATCTCGCTAAAATTTTCTCTTATGTGTTAATATTACTAATGTGACTACTTCCTACTTTATTGTTTATTTTCTTAATTTTAATAATTACTTTTTATGTTTAAGCGAAAGAAAACATATCTCGATAACATAAACTAATTTCTCCTTTAGTATCTATTATTAGATATTTTAATCAAATTTTTATCCAAGAATGTAACGTGTATATATTAATACGTAAATAAACGTATGTAATTTTTTTTCAGTCTGTGAATATTAACATATAGATATTAATTTGTATATTTTATAAGTATATTGAATCAAACAAGTTTTTACTTAATCGATTTTAAAAATAACCTTTAATATTAAATAAAGTACTGAAACATCACAAAACGATATAAGTACCTTCATTCCTAATAACCATACAAAAAACAATACAAAACATATAGAAATTTTAAAACGAACTCACTTAAATATTCTATACAAAACTAAGTGCTTATTAAAATCGCATTAATGTAATAATGTTCTGATTAATTGCTCTAACATGATCGCTAAACACGGTAAGCCCTGACCTTGAGATATTATTCTATAATATAAGGTAGTAATTTACAAACGACTGCCAAATTTCTGAAGCACGCATAACGTGATGATCCTTGGTAATGATATACATCTTTTATTGCAATTAACGCTTCACCTTATTATATTCATAACTTTTATGGACAATACATTGATAAGAAATCGAGTTTAAAACTATTTCGGGACTCATTAACATGGTAAGTCAGTTAATCAATCATTTTAGATTATTATCCTTACTAATGAAGACGATGTTCAATAACGTATTAAGTTTACTCTCACGCATTATTGAAATCTATTTTAAATTTTAATTAATGATTCGATTTTTTAATATGTAAACTAGCTATTCCAGCGACCGCGTTGTAGTCGGAATAAATATAAAATAAACGCCGTGTGGTCCCGGCATAAAATAAACCACCCCTTCCTTTCCCATAGGTGTCGTAAGAGGCGACTAAGGGAAAGCGAAGGAGGAGCAGCAGCGTCATTTTAAAACATCTCCAAAGTCTAATTACCAATCTACCTACCAAGCGTGCCAACTACTGATAAACCCACCTAAGAGGAGGCTTATGTTTAGCAATGGACAGTTAAAGGCTTATATGATGATGATGATGATATGCGGTCCCGGCATAGAATAGGCCACCCCTTTCTTTCCCGTGGGTTTCGCAAGAGGCGACTAAGGGAATTTAATAGTCAAGTGATGAGCAGTTGCGTCCATCTTAAAACATCATTAAAAGCCTAACTGCGATTGCCAACCCGCCCGTAGCGAGTGGTAATTATTGGCAAAAAATGGAATGCTTATATTCAGTAGTGGACAGTTAACGGCTGTTATGAT